GATGTTAAACTGGAGGCTTTTCCTGACTCACACACCTGCTGGGGCTAATGAACCAGGAAGCAGGAAAATCACAGACTAGTAGAGGCATTGATGGATGAATACAAAGTCCATAGGGCAGACTGAAGAACGGAATGATCCAAGGCTGGTAGGCAATATGGTAGGCCACTGATAAATATGAGTTGGCAGACATTATGATAGGCTGTTGGCACAAATCTAAAGAAACAGAAGTTGATGAGACAGATGCAAGTTCCAGACCAGCCAAAAGCTTTCTCACAGTCTGCTAAATTAAGAGTAGACCACAGCCCCGAGGACACTTTCTTTCAATTGCATTAGGGAAATTACCTGGCTTAAACATCTTGCAACTCCCATCATGGAGTCGATACACTGTTGAGTCACATCATGGGGAATTGCCAGGTTCTGCTTAACCAATACAACTATTATTCAAACTTATGCACCAACCAGAAATTGAAGAATTCTACCAACACCTTCAGTCAGAAATTGATGAAACATGCAATCAAGATGTATTGATAATTACTGGCGAATGGTATGCAAAAGTTGGAAACAAAGAGGAAGGAACAGTTATTAGAAAATCTGCCCTTGGTGATAGATACAAATCTGGAGATTAAATGGCAGAATTTTGCAAGACCAACAACTTCTTCAAGGCAAATGCCTTTTTTCAAAAGCACAAAAAACCATGTGAAGTCTCCAGATGGAAAACACAAAAATCAAATTGACTACATCTGTGGCTAGAGAAAAACTGGGCTTCGTATTCCCAGAAACAGGGGGTCACTATGAGTCAACATTCATTCGATGGCAGTGAGTGGCAAGAGACGATGGAGAAGCTCAATATCAGCAGCTAAAGTCAGATCACAGGCAGACTCTGGAAGATACCGTCAATTGATAATATGTAAGTTTAGGTTGAAACTGAGGAAAATAAAAATAAGTCCATGAGCGCCAATATGTCAACTTGAATCTATCCCACCTGAATTTTGAGAACAACTCAAGAACAAATGTGATGTATTGAACACAAATTACAAAAGACCTGATGAGCTGTGGGAGGGCATAATACATGTAAAAAGCAAAATGCCATTAAAAAGATAAGAAAGAAAAAAAATCAAAGTGGATGTCAGAAGAGACTCTGAAACTTGCTTAAAATCATAGAGTAGCTAAGGCAAAAAGAAGAAATGATACATAGCTAAGGCAAAAAGAAGCAATGATAAAGTCAAAGAGTCTAACAGAAAATTTCAAAGGGCAGTTCAAGAAGACAAAGTAAAATATTATAATTGTGAAAAGATCTAGAGTTAGAAAACCAAAAAGGAAGAATATTCTCAGCATATCTTAAACTGAAGCAACTGAAGAAAAAATTCAAACCTTGAGTTTCAATATTGAAAGATTCTGTGGACAAAATATTGAAAAATGTAGAAATTATCAAAATAAGATGGAAAGAAGACATAGTTAATGTATCAAAAAAGAACCAGTCAACATTCACCCGTTTCAAGAAGTAGCATATGATCAAGAATCAATGGGACTGTCACCATCCTAGAGCAGCTCCCTTGATATGTTTGAATGATTGAACTATTCAATTCCATGATATGTAAATTATGTGCCAATAAAACTGTTAAAAAAAACTTCAAAAAAGAAAAAAATCAATGGTACTGAAGAAGTCTAAGAGGCACTGAAGGCATTAGCCAAAAATAAAGCTCCAGGACTTGATGGGATACCAATACCAACAAGCTGGTGAAGCACTCACTCATTTATGCCAAGGAATTTGGAAGGCAGCTACTTGGCCTACTGACTGGAAGAGATCCAAATTTGTACCCATTCCAAAAGAGGTGACCCAATATAATGCACACATTATAAAACAATGTCTCTGATATCATGTACAAATAAGATTTTGTTGAAGATCATTCTACAACATTGCAACAGTACATTGACAGGGAGCTACTAGCGGTTCAGGCCAGATTCAGAAGACATGGAACAAGGGGTATCATTGCTGACAAAAGATGAATGTTGGCTGAAAGCCGAGAATACCAGAAAGATGTTTACTTATGTTTTATTGACTTTTCAAGGCATTTGAATTTGTGGATCATAACAAACTATGGATAGCCCTGAGAGGAATGAGAATTCCAGAACACTTCATTGTGCTTATTTGGAACTTCAACAAGGATCAAGAGGCTGTTGTGCTAACATAAGAAGGAAATAGTGCATGGTTTAAAATTGGGAAAAGTGTGTGTCAGGTTGATTCCTCTCACCATCCTTATTGAGCCCTTATGCTGAGCAAATAATCAGAAAAGCTACATTAAATGAAGAATGTAGTATCAGGATTGGAGGAAGGCTTATCAACAATCTACAATATTCAGGTGCACAACATGTTGAAGGTGAGGAGGACTTAAAGCACTTGCTGATAAAGATCAAAACTGCAACTTGCAGTATGAATATCAACTCAATGTAAAGAAGATAAAAATCCTTACAAATGGACTGTCGTCATAAATGGAGAAAAGATCGACATCATCGAGGATTTCATAATCAATGTTCATGGAAGCTGCAATCGAGAGATCAAACAATGTATTATATTGGGTAAGTCTGCTGCACAAGACCTCTTTAAAGTGTTAAATGCCAGGATGTTACTTTGAAGACTAAAGTGTGCCTCACCCAAGCCAGTGTATTTTCAATTGCCTTATATGCATGTGAAATTTGCATATTGAATCAGGAAGACTGAAGAAGAAGAGATGCATTTGAATTGTGGGGCTGGCAAAGAATACTGACTGTACCATGGACTGCCGAAAGAACAAACAAATCTGTCTTGGAAGAAGTACAGCCAGAATGCTCCTTGGAGAGTCAACCAGGGTGCAGTAAAGCATCGATGAAACACACAATATTCCTCTGGTTCCTTGAGTCTTCCTCACCCCCCACTATCATGAACCCAGTACTGCTTCACAATTCAGATGGAATCCAGGACAGGAATGGGACTAGTGATACCAGAAGGGTAAGGATAAGGTGGAGAGAGGAAGGAGAAAGGGGGAACTGATCTCAATGATCAACACATAACCATACACCCTTCTCCAGTGGCAAGAACAACAGAAAACCTGGGGGAAGGGAGACAGTGGTCAGTGTAAGATATGAAAATAATAATAATTTATAATATACCTAGGGCATCTGAGGGGGGGAGAGAAAATGAGGAGCTGATACCAAGGGCTCGATAGAAAGTAAATGTCTACAAATGAATTAAGGCAACATATGTACAAACATGCCTGATGCAATCAATGTATGGATTTTAGCAAGAGTTGTAAGAATCCCCAATAAAATGATCTTTAAAAAAAAAAGAATGCTCCTTGGAGGTAAGAATGTCAAGACATTGTCAGGAGATAATAGTTTGGAGAAGGCCATCATGCTTGTTAAAGTAGAGGGGTAGTGAAAAAAAGGAATGTCCGTGATTAGATGGATTGACACAATGGCTGCAACAATGGCTTCAAATATGGGATGATATCGGGCTGGGTGGTGTTTGGTTGTGGTGTACATAGGGTTGCTATGAGTCAGAACTGATTCGGTGGCACCTAACAACAATAAGGGAATGCAAATTATAACCATAGGGAGAGAGCACTAAAAAATGTATTCAAATGTCTAACTAGGTTTTTTTTTAATGACCATGCCACGGACTGAGGAGGATGTAAAACACCTGAAACTGTCAAACCCTGCTAGTGTTAATTTAAAATAGTGCAACCACATATGGAAAAACATTGATAGGTTCTTTAAAAAGCCTAACGTACACTTAACCACATCCTTTTTAATTGCTAGACATTTACTCTTGATAAATGAAAGTATATGTCCATACAAAGATTTATAATAATCATACCAGCTTTATTTGTAATAATCAGGAACTAGAAACACCCCATCTGTCCATTATCAGGTAAATAAGTCAGCAAATTATATATAATATATTGAAATACTACTCAGCAATACAAAGAAATAAATTCTTGATACATGACGTGTCTGAATCTCAAAATAAATAATGCTTAGTTAAAAGTTAGACAAAAAGTTAACAATTGGAATAACAGTCCACAAGGACAATGTGAATAGCAACTGATGTCTTAAAAGCTCATTTGCCTTTTTCTAAGGCACAACTTTTGGCCTCTCTCCATCTGGAGTACATGAGAGTGAAGAAAATCAAAGATGCATGGAAACAATTAGTCCAAAGGACCATTAACTACTTGAGCCTCGGCCTCAAAGACCCTGAGACCAGAATTCGATGTTGTATAGCTTCCACTAATTGGGATCACAACAAGAAGTCTTGGATAGAGTTGGAGAAAAATATGAAACAAATTTTAGAATAATGAAGACAAGGTTTGCTGTTCTGGTAGTGAAGAGTGAAATCCCCAAGACTATGGCCTAACCCTTAGTCACTCTTTAAGCTCAGAACTTATCTCATTCCCTGGGCTCAACTTGTAGCCAAACAATAGACTGATCTATAAGACAAACAAATGTAGCTATCTTTTCCAACAATGGAAATGTATTGGAACTAGTTTAGTTTATTTCGTCACTTGCTTTGTTTCTGCTTGCCACTCAACATCAGACTTCCACTGCCAGTTCTTCCATATTAATCCCCCTCTAGATACCTGGAATCTTTTATTTTCCTCTCCTGCCATTTCCTTAAAAATAATTGGCTTTAGCTTAATACTAAGTTCTCATAATCCTATGACAAATTAATACGACAATAAATTGTTATATGTCTAAATTTTACTTCATCTGTAATGCACGTTTCACTTTCACAAGAAAGCAAAATATTCCAATACCATGTATAATCATGTAAATTCAGGGTGATTTCTCTCCCTGCCCCCCTTCCGTCTTGCGTGGTAGTGGATGCATGATAGTGGATACTCTGAATATTGTAATATCAGTCTTTATAAAATTAATTCAATTTTGTCTAGGTAGTCTTTGGATCTTTTCAAGATTCCATTCTTGAAAATTCATAAATGGCCATACATTTCATTGTTCACTTCCAGGGAGACAGAGGATTTCCAGGATTGGAAGGTCATCCGGGTTTGCCAGGATTTCCAGGTCCAGAAGGACCTCCAGGGCTTCGGGGACAAAAGGTATGTACCAACTGGAGGAATTAAATCATCTTAAATATGAAAACAGGTGTCAAACAAGTAAATCAGAGTTACTAAGGTATAGCCAGAAACTCCTATGCAAATGAAGCAATAACATGGTCATGACCCTAAATACACTTGTTGACTTTTAAAATGGAATACTACTGCCATATTAAAATGTTTTGGACTGTTGTATGGGATTATTGGGGGCCATAACGACAATAGCAAAAGTTTTGTTTAAAGTAAGAAATGGGAAGATATAATAGTGACTGAGAGAAATTTTGTTTTTTCTTGTTTTCTAACAATTCTTTTGACTCTGCTCCTCTCTAGATGACTTAGATAGGTTTATCAAGTGACATGTGAAAGAGCTAGTTCTGTTCACTTTCCTGGGAAGGAGAACTGGTTTTAAACCCTTTATTTTCTAATTTTATCTTTCCAGGTAATGGCAGTATACCATTTCCTTCCTGTATTAAGGAAGTCAAATTGTTGCTCACCAGGCCATTCTCACAATAAAGGAGACAAAGTGACTTAAATGCATGAGTACTATTTTAACAAGTTTTTAATACCACTGCCTGTATCTTAAGGGGATTGAGGCTGAATCCCATGGATGTGGCAGTCCATCAAAGTAGGTTTTTTTGAATTGAAGACCTGAAGTGGGCTGTGTTCAATTTCCTGATTAGAACTTAGGCACTGAAGAAACCAGGAAAATCTTCAGCAACTACAAAGATGGGACCTTCAACTGAATGCCCCGTGCCTATTGGTGTTCCATTTTAGTGTACATGGGGTCTCTATGAGTTGGAATTTACTCCATGGCATGTAACAACAATTTTTAAAAATGCGGTTGTATACAGTTTAACTCTATAAGACAGTCGTCTTTTGTTGTGATCTCATTTCAATATCCATACTACTTTGTAAACTTCTAGGATTCTGAATTCGAAGCATTTTCTACTTCTAGCTCCTGTGTGCCTTCAGTTGCCCAATATAGCTTAATTTATACGTTATATAGTAGCATAGTAGTTACAAGTTGGGCTGCGATCCACAAGTTCAGGAGTTCAAAACCATCAGCTGCTCCAAGGGATAAAGACTCGGCTTTCTTCTCCCATAAAGTGTTACAGTCTCAGAAACTAAAGAGACAGTTCTACCCAGCCTTATAGGGTTACTATGAGTCTACATGAAAGCAATGGCAGGAAACTTGGAGGGTATTATTTTATGTGAATAGATCCTTTTGAAAGTATATATATATTGACATATAGACTAAGTTAACAATTGTGTAGGCTTAATCTCTAATTTGTACACCCATATATAAATATGTATGTGTATATATTTCCAAGATTCTTTATTAAAAATTAAAATTTTAATTTAATTAATTTTGTAGTCAATATACTCACATCATAAAAAAATTAATTAACATAAGAAAGTATATAATGAAAAACCTTTCTTTACCACCCTTCTTTATTAACTACTGAATTTTACACCGGTTGTTGTTAGGTGACATCGAGTTGGTTGCATCTCATAGCAGTCCTGTGTGCAATAGAATGAAACACTGCCTGGTCCTGCACCATCCTCACAACTGTTCTGTTTGAGCTCATTGTTGCAAACGCCGTGCCAATCCATTTCATGGAGGGTTTTTCTCTTTTTCTCTGACCTTCCACTTTATCAAACATAATTTCCTCCAGGGACTAGTCCCTTCTGATACCAAGTCCAAAATATATGCGACATAATTTCACCATCATCACATCTAAGAGCATTCTGCCTGTGCTTTCTCCAAAATAGATTTGTTTGTTCTTCTGGAAGTCCATGGTATGTTCAATATTTCAAATACATCTATTTTTCTCTTGTTTTCCTCATTCATTGTCCAGCTTGTATGTATATGAGGCTATTGAAAACACTATGTCTACCTTAGCGCTCAGAGTGACATCTTTACTTTTTAATAATTAAAGAGGTCATTTGTAGCAGATTTGCCAGTCCACACTGTTGTTTAATTTTTTGATGGCTGCTTCCATGAGCATAGGCTGGATCCAGAAACAATGAAATCATTGGAAAGGTCAGCTTTTTCTCTGTTCGCCATAAGGTTAGTTATTGTTCTAATGTTGAGATTTTTGTTCATAGTAGCCACCCACATATGTTAGCTTCTTCTAAATACATCCAATAATTTTTGTGGATATGTTTGTAGTTAACAAATATATTTATTCATATACACACATGCACATTCTTACTCTACTTTTAAATAAGATAGTAGTAAATTCAACACATTGTTTGACTTTATTGTTTCACTTAATATGTTAGATATTTCCTAAATCAGAATATATAGAGCATCTTTTAATAGTTATATAATAATCTATTGTGTGTATAGGCTTAATATGATCATTTAAATAGTTTTGAGATTTTTACTACTATAGTGATACTAAAATATGTGACTTTAAACAGATATTCTTTCATCCATAAAATATTATTTCTGCAAATAAATTACTAAAGTGGTATAGCTGCATTGGAGGACACATGTATGTATGTGTCTTTATAGATGTGGCCAAATTGCTCTCTCTTCCTCCCCCAACCCCCTGTGTTGAATGATTTATTGTAGGACCACAAATTACAATATATCTTATAGCCTCACCAACACTGTCTATTATGGAACTTTGGAATTTTACCAAAGAAAGATGATCTCTAAATGTGCTTTTAATTTGTGTTTCTTTTATTCTAAGTGAGATTGAGCATCTTTTCATATATCTATATATCTTTTGTGTTTTTTTGTGAATGAGTTATATGATTGGCCTATTATTCCACTGGATTATTGATATTCTCATATGTCAGTGAGCTATTTCTATATCTGGGAGATTAGCCTTTTGTTTGTCCTGTGAGTCGCAAATGTTTTTCCTCAGTTTCATTTGTCATTGTGTGTGTTCATGTATGTGTCTGTGTGTTTTTTAAACATCTTGTTCTTTCTGATTTTTCACCTTGAGTAAGAAAAGCCGTCCCTACTATAATTTATTTTAAAATTGTCATTTGCCATTTATCTTGGTGCGTGATTTTGAGCATCCCAAGTGTTTTAAACTTCTCTTCTTATGAATCGTGTGCATTCCTCATTAAGCTCATTCCTATCTGTTTTTGTTGCTATTTTATATTGGATGTTTTCTTCCATCATGTCTTCTCACTGGGGGTGATTGTTGTTATATAAGAAAGCTATTAGTTTCTTTGTATTAATTGTACACATAGGTGTCACACTGAATTACCTTGTCACTCTGTGTTGGTTAGTGCTACCAGTCTAATATGAAGGCATCCTGTTGCCTTTAGTGGGAATGCACAAAAAGATTCCTTTAAATAGCAGATTTTCTAGTTATCTTAAATTAGAACTTGATTTTATTTACTTTCACTTTCTCAGTAATGCATCAATTGTGGAAATAGCAGTTTATTAAACTTCTTTTAAAAGCAGGATATGGTAGGCTGAAAAAGTGACCCCCAAAATGTACACCTCCAAATCCCCAGAATGCGTGATTCTGTTAGGTTACAAAACAAAGTCAAATTAAGATGGTAGATGAAATGAAATCAGCTGACTTTAAAATACAGTGATTATACTGGGTTATGCAAGTAGGCCCTGCGTAATCACATAAAAACACAAAAACCTAACTTAATTCCAACTAGTCAATTCTGACTCATAGCAACTCGCAACCCCGTAGGGCATAGTAGAACCTCTTAGAGTTTCAAAGACGTTAAATCTTTATAGGAGCAGGCAACTTCATTTTTCTTCCTTGGAGTGGCCGATGGGATTGAACCACCAACTTTGTGATTAATGACACAGTGCTTAACCCATTGTGTACTGCCATCATTTCTGAGACTGTAAACTTTAATGGTGGCAGTTTCTCATCTTTCCTCCAAGGAAAGGCTGATGGGTTTGAAGCATGACTCTTGAGGTTAGCACCTCAATGTTTACCCCACATTGCCAACAAAACTCCTTGATCTACTATATATTCCACTGAAACCCCTGTTCTTTAGAGCAGAGTTAGTCTTTATTCCATTATTTTAAATTAAAAATTTTCAAATCTGTTTAAGGCAATATCTAAATTCTAAGCCATGCAACTGTTACTAGAAATAGGTAAACAAATTAAAACACAGTGGGCAACCTTATTTATGTGAGGCCCATTGTATACACTAGAATGGAACATTTATGGGTCATTCCTCTGCCAGGAAGAAGTGCTGTTTACAACAAAGGGCCGGATGAGAACACCAAACATAAGAACAGCACATATTAGGGTTTGGAGATGATGTTCTTGTTTTGTTCATACTGGAATGATTGTGGGAATATCTGTACCTCTACTTTTATCTTTGATTTATTAAAGTTTACAACATTTTAAGTTTCACATGTTATAATTGAATAGTAGTTATTTGAAGACTCTTTTTGTAAAGAACATGAACTAAACAAGTTGTGTTTTTCAGGGTGATGATGGAATTCCAGGCCCGCCGGGACCAAAAGGAATCAGAGTAAGTGGTGTATATAATATTTTGCTGGTTGAAAGATAATATATAAATGAAATGTAACAACTGGAAAATACCAATGTTGAAATGGAGGAAGAAAGTGCAGTCTTTTAGACCAGAGGATGTACACTGGTACAGATAGGAACTGAAAATACAGGGAATCCAGGGCAGATGAGCCCTACAGGACCAGTGGTGTGAGTGGCGAAACAGGGAGGGTAAAGGGAGAGTGAGTAGGAAAGAGGGAACCGATTACAAGGAACTGTGTGTGACCTCCTCCCTGGGGGACAGACAACCGAAAAGTGGATGAAGGGAGACGTCGGACAGGGCAAGATATGACAAAATACCCATTTATAAACTATCAAGGGCTCATGAGGGAAGGGGGAGCGGGAGGGAGGGGAAAAATGAGGACCTAATGTCGGGGGTTTAAGTGGAGAGAAAATGTTTTGAGAAACGATGTACAAATGCGCTCTACACAATTGATGTGTGTATGGATTGGGATAACAGTTGTATGAGCCCCTAATAAAATGTTAAAAAAACACACAAAAGCTCTGGAGTTTTCTCACTTTGAAGTCAAAAAGTGTCCAATTTATATTTCCTTAATATTTACAAATTAAAAATTCCAAATTAAAAAAAAGTTAAATTTAAAAGTTGGTTCGTGGCTATAATTAGCCCCTCTTCAGGATTTTGATGTTTGTTAGTTGCCTATCAAATTAACTGCAACTCACAGAACCTTCCTCACAATCACTGCTCTGTTTCAGTCTTGTTGCAGCTACTGCATGAGCCATTCTGTGGAGGACCTTTCTCTTCTCCACCGACCCTCCACTGCACCAAAAGTCTTTAGCCAAAGCTCTAGGAAGGAAAACAAGGCCCAGGAAAAGCTTCAACAGAGAGCCTTTTTCACCATGACAATGCTCCTGCTCATTCCTCTCAACAAACAAGGGACATTTTCTGAGTTATAATCAGGCATCCAACTCAAAGTCCTGAGTTGGCTCCTCCTGACTTATTTTTGTTTCCTAATTTATATTTATATATATTCTTTTCTTCACCCATTAGTGGCCCTGGTGCCGTAATAGTTGTGAGTTATGCAGTGATCCACATGGGTGATATTTCAAAACCACCAGCAACTCTGTGGGAGAAAGACTGGTCTTTCTACTTCAGTAAACAGTTACAGTCTCAGAAACCCATGGGGGTGGGGGGCGCAGTGAGTTAACATTGACTGGATGGCAGTGAGTTTGGTCTTGGTTTTCTTCACCCTCTACCATCGAGTCAATTCCAGTTCATAATGGCCTGATAAGGAGAGGGTAGAACTGCCCCTTTGAGTTTTCTAGACTTTAAATTTTTCTAGGAGTAAACAGCTTTATATTTCTCCCATGGCGTGACTAGTGGGTTCAAGACACTGAACTCATGGTTAGCAGCTCTGGGTGTAACACATTGTGCCACCAGTAGTCCTCAACTTGTTTGAATTACGGTGCCGTCAGAGAATACTGAAAGTATCTTGGACTGCCAAGAGAACAAACAAATTTATCTTGGAAGAAGTACAGTTAGAATGCTCCTTAGAAGTAAGGCTGGTGAGACTTCCTCTCACGTATTTTGGACCTGTTGTCAGTAGAGACAAATCCCTAGAGAAGGACATCAGACTTGGTAAAGTATAGGGGCAGGGAAAAAGAAGAAAACCCTCGACAAGATTGATCAACACAGTGGCTACAACAATAGGCTCACACATGACAACAAATATGAAGAGGACACAGGACCAGGCAGTATCTGTCGTAGTAGAGTTGCTATGCGTCAGAACTGACTTGACAGCACCTGACAACAATAATGAGATTTTTTCAGTTAATATTATAAAAAGGACCCATTTTCATGGTTAAATTTCCAGGACCCTAAAGTTATAAACTAAATGGCTGCTATCATCACGTATAAGAATGTCTTGAACTTTTTCCTTATGTTTTCATTCCATTTCTCAGAATTTTTGAAGTTCCTACATATTTCTTTTTTATGCAAGATATATATATCAATATACTCTTAATAATCTTTCTAATTATCATAACTTATCTCCAAATAGCCATAAAACTCACTGCCATCAAGTCTATTCCAATTCATAGCCACCGTATAGGACAGAGTAAAACTGCCTCTTTAGGGATAAATCTTTATAGGAGTAGCAAAGCTCATCTTTCTTTTGCCGAGCAGCTGATGTTTTCAAACTGCAGACATGGCAGTTAGAAGCTGTGTTAGTCTGGGTAAACTAGGGAAACAAATTCACAGAAGCTCAAATGTATATAAGAGAGAGTTTTATATAAAGGACAAGTGTACATTAAGAAAGCATCCCAACCCAGTGCTGTCCAAGCCCATTAGTCCAACATTAGCCCATATGTCCGACAATGAGCTACAAAGTCCTCTTCCATCACACAAAACACACTCTATGACACCCACTGCAGGAGAAAAGCTGAATCAGTGAACGTGTAAGCATCTCAGCACTGGCAGAGGTCTCCACAAGGTTTCTCCAGCACCCAGGGCTGCAGCAGGGTAAATCCATGTGGCTTCTCCTCAGGGATGTCTCACAGGAAGTGAGCCTTGCCACCTGAAGCAGGGAACTGGCTAAATTAGCAGCTGTACCCTGGTCTGACCATCAGAAAGCAAGAGACCTGAGAACTGGAGAGGCCAGGCTCAGCGAGCCATTTATCTCTCCACTCCTCAATTAACCCCACATGTGTTTATCGGCCAGGTTGGCACAATATAAACCTTATCTATCTCAGAAGCCCAGCATAGACCCCACTGTACCACCAGGGTTCCATCATAATAAACCTGCAGGACACGTCTACTCTGATTCCTAAAGAAATGAGTCAAAATCAACTCCCATGACAGTGAGTCGTTTTTCTGAGCTTAGGTCTCAGCCTTGACAATTCTCGACATTGACAGAAATATTGAAACGAATGTGCAGAAAATAGTACAATGAACTTCCATATGCCCATCATCAAGCCTCAAAAGTTAGCATTTGACAATTTTCTTCCATCTTTATTCCCCCATTTATTGTTTTGAATACTTAGAAATAAATCCCACAAATCATGTCATTCTGCCTATGACTGTTTGTGTATGTATGCTTCTCTTAGAACCACATGGCCACTATACCATATTACACCTCAAAAAGTAGCAATAATTTGTCAGTATACTCTAAAACTCAGTAATACTCAAATTTCCTTGTCTTTTTGCAAGTGGTTTGTTCACAGGATTCGACAAAAGTCTATATATTGCCTTTGGTTGCAAGGCTTGTTATATTTTTTTATCATGTCACCAGGAAAATAGGACCATGTGTATGATGTCCCACAAACCAAATTTCACTGATTGTTTCCTCATGATGTCATTTAAAAGATGACAGAAGAATTTTCCTCTTAAATATTATGTATTTTACTTTACTAAACCATACCTCAGAGCCCGGGTGGCATCATGGATTATATGTTGACCCATAAGGTTAGCAGTCTAAAACCTCCAGCCATTCCACGGGAGAAAGATGGGGATTTCTACTCCCATAAAGATTTACAGCCTCAGAAACTCACAGCACCAGTTCTATGATGAGTCTCTATGAATTCAGTGAGTTGAAACTATAACTCAATTAAAATAAATAAATAGCATCCCTGGTCCCAGGTGAAACAAATGGTTAATGTGCTTAGGTGCTAACCAAAAGGTTGGCAGTTTGAATATACTCAGAGGTTCCTTGGAAGAGAGACCTGGAAACCTACTTCTGAAAAACCAACTGAGATAGTTAAGGTTCATTGTGCCAACTTGGCCAATAAACACATGTGGGGTTAATTGAAGAGCAAAGAGATAAATGGCTTGGTGAGCCTTGCCTTTCTGGTTCTCAGGTCTCTTGCTTTCTGATGGTCGGACTAGGTTGCAGCTGCTAACTTGCTTCAGCTGGCAAGGTTCACTTCCTGTGAGGATCCCTGAGGAGAAGCCACATGGACCTACCCTGATGCAGCCCTGGGTGCTGGGCCAGCCGTGTAGAGACCCCTGCCAGTGATGAGATTCTTACACATTCACTGGCTTGGCTTTCCTCCTGTAGTCGGCATCCTTGTGTGTGTTTTGTGAGATTGAGGAGGATTTTGTAGATTGGTGTCGGACATATGGGCTAATGTTGGACTTGTGGGCTTGGGCAACACTGGGTTGGGATGCTTTCTTAATGTACACTTACCCTTTATATAAAACACTCTCTTATATACATATGAGTTTCTGTGGATTTGTTTCTCTAATCTACCCAGACTCCCAGACTAACACACCAACCATTGAAATCCCTGTGGAGCATAGTTCTACTGTGACATCCAAGGGGTCCTCATGAGTCAGAATAGATTTGACAGCAATTGTTTATAAAATTGAAGACAATAGAAAAGAATTTTTTTTTTCGGGATAGTGCTGTATACTTTCAAATGACATCATGGAACACAATATTTTTGTGAGTCACTTTATTGATGCTATGTTTGAACAGTAGTTTCAGGTGATGTCAGACTTTCTCCTCCATTCAAAGCTGCCCCATCAACTTTCCACCTAATGGTTTTAGCATCCATTGATGGCCATTGCCTAGATTAATTCTTTCATTCAGAGTTGCAAAGTGGTTATTTAAATTATTCAATCAATCCTTCTTACTTCATTAGTTGGGACTTTAATATATCAGCTCTGATTCTACTAGGATAATGAATGCTACATTGGCAACTTTCAGTGGAAACAAATGTGGGTTTCTACATTTAAAAATATATATATACAATTATAAATATAGACATTTATGTGTTTAATTCAATGGTGATATTTTTTATAGGGCCAGATTGTCTTGTCTTTAGCTTATGGGAGTCCTTTAAAATTGACTCCTGGCCTGTGTCTTTTTGACAAAACTCCAGTGGTGCTAGATTACTTCTTTGCTTTTTGGCACATGACATTTCAGGCCAATCTTGCACCTTTTCTTTCCAGTCCAAGAATTGAATTATTTTTCTTATTCTGGGTTACTTTTGGTGAAGACGTTTATTCGGATACCACAGTCTGAATAGTCAAGATGTTCACTGCTATTGTGTTTGTCATTGTTTTGATATCTTTTCAGTGAACAGAGTTAGAAAATACATATTTTAACAGAAAAACAAACCTTGGCTTCCTCCTATTATTTCTGACTTAACCAAGACTTGTACTTAACTTTAGAATCTAAATACATACCTCTGCCTACACATGAACATGCACACATGAACATGCAATGTGCATGCACATACATACTTAACATTATTTACTAGAGATCAATCCATATCATTTAACAGCAATCTTCCTCAGGCTTTGAAACAACTGTATAAGTATTACACTGTGTGGATATGCCATTGTTCATATATCTGTGCTCTTATTGGTGTATATTTGGATTGTTTCTAATCTTTAGCTATAACAAATGTCACAAAATAACTTTCCTATTCCACTTAATAATTTTTCTGTCTATCTTTGGGATAGTCTTATAAATGAGTTGCAATGTCAAAAGTTAAGGGTACCTTGCAAGAAGGCTTCAAAAAAATCATAGAAAGATGGAGTTAAACGATAATGAAATTTTCCCATGAACTCTTTGAAGCCTTCTTATGTGATATTTCCAAGATTCCTCTCATTGTATTTGAATCCCCTTTAACAGTTTACCAGAGTGTCTTTTCTTCATAACCTCACCTATAGAGAATGTTTTCATGCTTGTGTTTTTTGAGAGCCTGATGGGGAAATTTAATTGAAGAATTTTCTGGATAACTAAATGGATGTTTTCTGGTGCAGACAGTTTTGCCACTTTCCTAATCTCCGACAGAATTCACACAAATCTGAGATAACTACTTTATCTATCAGAAGTGATCTTTCATCATCTAATTTGTCTGCTGCTACTAAGTACAGTAGAGAGCCATGCTGACCACAAATTCAGCAGTTCAGACCCACCAGCTGCTCTGAGGGAGGATGATGGAGCTTTCTGCTTCAGTAAAGATGTACAGCCTCAGAAACCCAAAGGGACAGTTCTACTCAGTCCTGTAAGTTTGCTGTGAATCTGAATTGACCCAATGGCAGTGACTTTGGCTTACTAAATATAATGAAGACAAAACCCCCTCAAGCAAGTGCTTTTCCATTTCTATAGAAATAAGTGGTAATAATCAATAAAGCACATTTGGTCAATTTCTATCTAAATATACTTTTCTTAATGCCTTTAGGTAAGATGTTATTATCATTGATTGTTATTTGGTTCAAGTAATTTATTTCTTCTTACAGGGTCCTCCTGGACTTCCTGGATTTCCAGGGACACCAGGTCTTCCTGTAAGTAAAATTTGGCTTTTTATTTTTATATTTCTTTAAATGTAATCTGAAAAATATTATACATTTGTTACATATATTTTCAAAGGGAATGCCAGGACATGAGGGGGCCCCAGGACCTCAAGGTATTCCTGGATGCAATGGAACCAAGGTGAGATTTATCCAGTATCTTAAGCAATATGTGAGATAATAATAGAATTAGAAATAAATGAATATGAATAATGTGAAAGAGACATAGTTATTCATGTCTAGTTTATACAAATGTGTGTTCCAGAAATAGTTTCAGGATATTGAAATATTAGTAGTTGTTTAAAACATGTGTAAATAATTGGGATAATGCATTGTATTGTAAATTACTTGCCAAATTCTTTCTTTTTAGATTTGGTGTAAAACAAGGTGAGAGTTCAAAAGAACTAGGATATATCTTGTATATTTCAATAGTACATCAGTTATTAAAATGTGAATGTCGCTCATTAAGTCTGCCTTTAAAAAAGATCTAAGGTACAATTCTAAGTTTTAAAATTTTTCATTTTATTATTTTTTTGATATTTAATTTTAAAGGGGTTTTGTTTTGTTTTCTATTATTTACATTGCCTAAACTTCCTTAAGAATATCTGAAAATCTAAAAAAGTAAAATTTAAAAAAAATACAGGACAAATGATTCCTTCAGGTCCAGTGGTGAGAGAGGTGATACCGGGAGGGTAGAGGGATGGTGGGGTAGAAAGGGGGAACCAATTACAAGGATCTACATATAACCTCCTTTCTGGAAATCAGTCAACAGAAAAGTGGGTGAAGGGAGATGTTGAATATTGTAAGATATGACAAAATAATAATAACTTGTAAATTATCAAGGGTTCATGAGTGAGGGGGAGCGGGGAGGGAGGGGAAAATGAGGAGCTGATGCCAGGGGCTCAAGTGGAAAGCAGATGTTTTGAGAATGATGATGGCAACAAATGTGCAAATGTGCTTGACACAATGTGTGTATGGATTGTGATAAGCGTTGTACAAGCCCCCAATAAAATGATTTTTCAAAAAAAGTAAAATTTTAAAAATAGATCTGAAAATCTAATCAGTAATACCCTGAGTTACGTTAGGTTCTCTAGAGAAGCAAAACCAGTACTGCTTGTATGTGTTTGTGTATAGAGAAAGAGATTTATATCAAGAAATACCTTAAACAGTTGTAGACGGAGGTAAGTCCAGTCCGGTTCAAGTCGGACTTCTAGCTAGGTTCATGGAAACTGAAGAACAGAAAGTAGGATGATGAAGCAGAGACAGTGGAGGAACTGGCTGGTGGATGCAATAGTAAATGAATCTGAAATCGACCAAATGAATCCACTGTCAGTAGTCTGCTGGTGGTGGGATTAGCAGGTCACACCACAAGAGATCGCAGAACCAGACAGAAGATCCAGCTCCAACAGAAGGCAAAGGGCCAAAGAGAAGTTGACTCTTCTGGGTCCCTCTCGTAGACAAAAGGCCACGCCCCCAAGGAGGTGTATTCAGACTGCAATCTGATTGATGGGTTGGGCTCAGTCCCTACCCTTACCCAGGAGTGTCTAAGTGACATATGCCCCCATCACCACAGACTAGCCCTTGTCAAATTGACATGTGCTCACAGCTCTTTAACCATACATAATCACCGAACAAAGACAATAATAAAATCATACTTGCACCTAACATGATACAACTAACATGAATACACAACCCACTAACCCCATTTTCATCTTATGCTTTATGAGTGAACAAAAGGTATTTGGTGCATACATTCAAATAGGAATTACTCATAACACTTACAGTTCTCTTTTCTGCAGCATAGTTAGTATTTAGAACTACCTTTTTCCACTACTCATTCTATATTTCCTCTGCTCTCACCAAGTACCTTTCCGGTCGTGGTTCTTCTCCTGGTGAGATGACCCACAAGTCCATTCCTGAAGAGTCTTGGTTATTCATAATAATGTTAGATTTTGGGTCCTTTTTTACCATTAACTTTAATTACAGGGCACGATAGCACTCAGATGACCTAAGGAATCTCCTGTATTCTAGATATATTCTTCTTTACCACCATTATCCAGTACTAATCCAATTTCTCACTGGTAATTAGAATCATTCATACCACTCAATACAGTAATACCCGTCTTTTCCTGTTTATCCATAGGCATGGAGGAGTCCAAAATGACCAGGAGGCATTCTTAACCTCCAATTCAATGAGATCAGTGCTGTGTCTCTAGGTGGGAGTATTCCCCACTTTGAATCTAAGATTTCTAGACCTAAAGAGCTGAATGTTGCAGGGGCAGGAAACAAAAAGGTGGTGAGTGGGTCATTAGGCGTAATAGTAAGTGGTTCCACACCCATTTCCTCCCCTTGTTTCCTGGACTCGTGAATCCTGGCCTTCGGAGAAACTACACCATGTATTGGACGCTGGTTTAGAGCATATACAGCCTCTTAGAGAACATTGCCCCAACCTGGCAAGGTTACACAAAGTGTAATTGTGTCTTTAGAAGTTCATTCCATTACTCCTTTTTTATTAATCGAGACTGATACATATATCAAATCATTTCATAGTTCAATCACATCCAGAAGAATTGTTACCACAATTAGTTTCCAAATATTCGTTTTCTATATTGACCCCTTGATGTCATCACCCCTTTAACCCGCCACCCGCTCTATGTACCCACCCCCCAAAACCCTTATTCTATTTCCTGCCATTGTTCTATCAAACGAATTGCTTCTGGTGGATTCCCTGACCATGAGCCCATTGCCATACTTCATTTGCTGTGAAGTGAGTCCCTTGATCTGTGGGATGCCATGTTAGGCGATGAAACATTCTGTAATCCTATGAATGGTAATTTTGGAAGATGCATTGCATGCAGGGAAAGAAATCTGTATCCAGAGTGAGTTTCTATTCCAGTAAGAACAAAATTCTGATCTTTCCAAGAAGGAAGTAGTCTTATGTTATCCACCTGCCATCAGGTAGCTGGTTGATCCCCCCAAGGAATGGTCCCATATCTTGGACTTGGTATTGGGCTCTGTTGCTCTAACAGTAGCCCAAGTCAGCCTTGGTGAATAGAAGTCCATATTGCTGAGTCCCCACATAACCTCTATCCCTACCACAATATCACTTTGTTCAGGTGTCCATTGGGCAAGACAGGATGGCTGGGAAAAGAGGATGACTGCTTTCCACCAAACATTTCATCCTATGCACTTGACTGTTAAAGTCCTCCTCCTCAGGGGTAACCCTTTGGTAAGCATTCACATGAGGCACAAACATCTTCACTGTTTTGGCCCATGCAGAGAGGTCCATCCATATACCTCTTCCCTACATTTCCTTGTCATCAATTTTCCAATCATACTCCTTCCATGTCCCTGACCATCCAGCCAAGCCGTTGGTCACAGCCCATAAATTGGGATACAGCCAAACATTTTGCTATTTCTCCTTCCAGGCAAACTGAACAACCAGGTGTACCGCTTGAAGTTCTGCCCTTTGGGAGAATTTCCCTTCACTACTCCCCTTCCGGGAGATCCAGGAAGGGGCTATAGTGCTGTTCAAGTTTTAGTTGTCCTTGCATATCATGGAGAACCATCTGTAAACCAAGCACTTGTTTTCTGTTCCTAAGTCAACTGATCATAAGGAAATACCCCATGAGGTCATAGGTGCAGACTGAGCGAAGGCAGGCACTGTTACAGAAATGGAGACTAGAAACATTTGGACCACTTCTTTAGGCAGCTTACTTGTGCCTTCAGGTTCTGCTCTAGATCAATCTTATATAGACCAGTTCCATGTAAAGATGGAGTTCTTCTGTGTGCATCCAACTTTGTGACTCTGTGGATCAGATAAATTCAGTTCATGATTAGCAGCTCAGGCTGTGTGGTGGCTTGGTAGCCCATGGTATGGCACTCAGTCTTCAGTAACAGGTCAAAAAGAGAATGGTTTTCTGCAGAGAATGGCACAGCTTTTACCCAAAATCATAAGGATCTGTGCTGTAATTTGCCAATAGGGGCCTGCCAAAGACTCCAAACTGCATCTTTATCTTCACTGCAAACTCAAACGACATTGGATCAGCGGGTCTTAGGACTCAACTGGAAGAGCGGCTTGCATGGCAGCTTGAACGTTGTTGAAGAGCCATATCATGTTCTGGGCCCTACCCAAAGCTGGCAGTTTTTTGAACCACTTGATAAATAGGCCGGAGTATCACAACCAAATGTGAGATATGTTGCCTCCAAAATCCAAAGAGGCCTACCAGGCATTGTCCCGCCTTTTTAGTTGTGAGACTGTCCAGATTCAATAACTTACCTTTCACTTTAGTAGAAATATCTCTACTTGCCCCATACCACTTAACCCCTAGAAATTTCACAGAGGAGAAAGGTGCCCGATTTTTTTCTCTTTAGCTTTCTCTACCTCTTTATTTCCATTTATTTTAATAGTTTTATTGGAATAGACATCCTATAACATACAATTTATTCATTCAGTCATATTAAGATTTGTATAATTATCACCACAATCAGTTTCAGAACATTTTCTTCTTGAACTTATTATTGTTTGTTCCTCATTTCCCTCCATCCTCCCCTGCCATATGCCTAGCAAATTATTGATCCATACCTACAGTATATCTATATATCTGCCTATCTTGGATTTCATATACAGAAAATAATACAAAACACAAACATGAAGCAATCAAACAAAATGATGAAACATAGAAAAATCTCAATCCAAATGAAAGCAGAAAATATTAAACACTGAAACAACATGAAAATGGGCCCAAAGGGAGATCAAATGGTAACATGTTACATTATAACCTCACTACATCTGCCACTATCAACTTTAAAATGTTCCTTGTTTGATAGCAAAGTTACTTACATCCTGGGACTATGGTCAGAGGGCATACACTGGAGGCTTCATCAATATGAGGAGCCTGCAAATAGATTTTGGGCTTCCACTGTCATCTATAACATTTTGAAAACAGGGGGTTAGCAATTTAAGCTCTGATACCATTCCTTCCTTCAAATTAAATTTTATAATTTATTATCCTTGAATCACACAGGCTGGTGTGTTTCTTCTATGTGTACCTAGTTGATGCCTCACTTAGATGGCTGCTTGTTTAAAAGCAGGCCTTTGAGACCTCAGATAATATGCTTTCTGACAGCCAGGCACCATCTCGTTTCTTCACTACAGGTTGCTATAACACTCATATATTCAGTGATCTCTTCATGAGTGTGGGCACTGAGCAGAGCCATGTCATAAGAACTGTTTGTTAAAAAAAAAAAGAAAAGAAAAGAACGGATTGTTCTTAGATTGGAGCTAGAATTAAGGGAGAGCCCCCAAATCCATATATATATATATATATACACATATTTAACTTTAGAGACTTGTGGTTTCTGACTACTGACCTTGAGGATTACAGCCAAATGCAATCTATCAGGGGGTTATGAGAGTCAGAGGGAGGAAAGAGGAGCTGCTACCAAGGGCTCAATAAAAGAACATGTCCACAAAAGAATGAAGGCAACATATGTACAAACATGCCTGATTAAATCGGAGTGTGGGTTGTGGTGAGTTGTAAGAGCTTCCAATAAAATTATTAAAACAAATTTTTAAAAAAAGAACTGGCTTACACAGTTGTAGAGGTAATTAAATCCAGCCCAGTTCAAGTCAGACTTCTCCTAATTCATGGAAGCTGACCCACAGGAAGCAGAATAATGAAGCATAGCCGGTGGGGTACAGGCTGGTAGACACAGAATTAAATGAAATTTACTGAATGAATCCACCTTTGGTAGTCTGGTAATGGCTCCTGGAACACAACAGGAAATGGAAGAACCAGATGCAAGATCCAACTCTAGCAGACAGCAAAGGGCCAAAGAGATTTCAACTCTTCTACAACAGTCTCAATTTTGTTTTATAAGCCAAATGCCCATATTAGTCTTTTATGATAGTGGGTCAGAAAAATTGGGTGACTAGATAACATGATCTAAAATTGCTCGAACAATTACTATTATTGATCTCTTGGTGATATTAATGACATTGTACCCTACCACCTTTTCCTTTTCAAAAAATAATTTGTGATAGTTTACAATAAAAAAATGCAGTTGAGTAGTTCAAGTAAGCATCTATATAATGTATGAGCAAGAAATTGGGGCATATCATGAACTATTAAATATGATGATGGCTAAGGAATCAGATTGTCATTCAATGAATTTACCACATGAAAATGACTGGGAAATAAGTGTTTGGGGGCCAATTTTTGTTGTTTCCTTTGTTTCTGATTAGGATTAAGCATAAAAGTAATTTAGTTGGATTGATAGGAATAGTCTCTACTGAGGTCATTGGTAAATGAAGGCTGATGAAATTTTGGAAATTTTATATGTTCCCACATGGATTTTATAGAAATCTTTTGTCATATGTAATGTTTTTGTTGGTAATTATGTTTGGTTTCTTTTTCTTACATTCACCTCTTGAAAATCCCTTCTAGGGAGACCGTGGATTTCCAGGCAGTCCCGGGTTTCCTGGCTTACAGGGTCCTCCAGTAAGTTACGCCCTGTGAGATCAAAATGGAAACAGGAATGGAAAGCAGCAGAAGTGGTAGAAAGTAAACTCAGGGCAATCATGTGGATCAGACTAGAGTACAAAGGGAAAGATATGGATAATCTACCTTTTGTTGGAAAATACCTAGAATTCTAACACATTCAATATGTTATCTCAAAATTTTCTAAGATATGTAGTACTTAGAAAAGACTCTGTAGTACTCTTTTCAATTTGGTCTCTTTTAAAAGCATTGCATTATTTTGCTTGCTCCTATTTTATGTAAAATAATGCTTTTTGTTTTTCATAATAGGGGCCTCCTGGTATCCCAGGTATGAAGGTAAGCATCTTATGCTAGTGAGGTAAATGTTTTGAATAAATTATTTGAAAAGCAATCCAGTTTCAAAAGGATAATGACTTAGACTTCTATCCTCAAATAAATGTTTCTAGAAATTGTGTGGGCATACACTTAAAAGCTCTCCCTAAGTAGTCACCTCTGTTCCCATGGCTTTTAATATCTTATGTATGTGGATAAACATCCAGACTTCTCAAGCTTCTCTTCTGACACCTTTGTCTTACTTCTGCATCTTGTTCATTCCTGGCTCCTATGCAGGCTCATCCTCTCGTATCCAGCACATTCTCAAACAGAGCCCTAGTCTCTTTTTTCTCTTCTATGCCTACCAGTATTACTAATTCTCATTATATTTATTACTGTATAGAATTTATTGATGTGTGAGTCCACATATTTCTATCATCAAAACAAGCCTATATGAGTTATATGCATACTTTCACCTACTTCCATGATAGCCGCCACTCAAACATCTCTCAGAAATGCAAAGGAATACATCTAAAATTAAACTGCTCCCAGCCCCTGCTAAATAAACTTACTTCCCCCTCTGGCTTCTTCATCCGTAAAGTTTGCATCTCTGTATGATGTACACTTTTGCATGAGCCCATTCCTTCATATATCTCCTCATTTCATTCTACCAAACCAATAGTGACTGTAAATTCATTCTAGCTATAAGATATATCTCAAATTCTCGGCTCTTCCTTCACCTTGACTGCCACCACATTAGCCATGTCTCCTCTGTACTACCTTGATAGCCTCTTAATTACTCTCTTGTTTGCACTTGCCAGTTTGATCAGTTCTCCCCAGGGCAGCCAAGAGTGATATTTAAAAAACTTAAATGGATCATGTAATCCCCCTGCTTATCAATCTTCAGGGGCTTCCCAGTGCATCTGATATAAAGTTCACATTCTGTTGAGTGGACTGCAAAATCTGCATCTTCTATCACCCAGCTACATTTCCAGCTTTATCTTGAAACCACTTCCCCCTTCTGTTCACTGATCTTCAGATCTGTACTCAGTTACTTGAACGTGGCAAGATCTTCTCTATTATGGTTCCTTTGTACAAGCTGTGAACACGGACACTACCAAACCTGCTTCTCCTTCCCTTTACTTCTCTAACTCCTATGACCTGACTTCAGCTCTTAACCTAAATGTTACTGTCATCGTTTCCTTTCTTAAACTACCCAAGCTAAAGTAATTTCCTCCCCTCTCTCTTTGTCTCTCTCTGTACCTTGCATGTGGGGTTTTATTGTTTGCAGTCCTTAATAGAATATATAGTCACACTATCTGTGTATGTAGTACTGGGACCTGCATTTCTCCATTGCACTGTTTGCTCCTTGAGAGCAGAAACCTTGTTGATCCTCTTCACTTCTCAGTATCCAAAACCAAACCAAATTCATGGTCTTTGGGTTGATTCCAACTTAGGTTGATCCCATGTGTGTCGGAGTAGAACTGTGCTCCATAGGATTTTCAAGGCTATGATATGTCAGAAACACAATTCCAGACACTTTCTTGAGGTGCCTCCGAGTTGGTTCGATCAGTCAACCTTTCTGTTTGAAGTTCAGGGGTGAACTGTTTGCGCCACCCAAGAACTCAAGAGCATCTAGAGCCTAGAAACTCTCAGCATATGCTTACATTTTAATAAGTAGCTTTAAATGAATAAACAGCTGAAGATTACTATAGGCTCTTAATAAATTTATTACACTTCAGTGTACTCTGGCCATGTCCTCAATTTCCTTACAAAGTCAAATGCATTCATTTTAGTTAACTGAGATGATCTAATCTTCCAGGACATTTCTGTGACAAATCCAATTCTCAGCTTATTTGATTGTGCTTTTGTGGATTTTCACGAGTAATACCTAGTACTTATATGTTCTGTTGATGGTTAATTGGAGTTTGTTTGTTTGTTTTTTAGGGGGAACCAGGTAGTATAATTATGTCATCACTGCCAGGACCAAAGGGGAATCCCGGATACCCAGGTCCTCCTGGAATACAAGTAAGCCATCTGTGATTTCTTTCTTTCTTACATTGGCTAAGTCTGAAGATCACAGCATTGTGTTTGCTCCATAACGTTTGTACTATTTTAGTCCTAGAAATTAGCATTGTGAAGTTTCCTACACACTGCATGTACCTTGTACCCCAAATTAAAAGTAACCTGGGCCACAGTTAATTTTAATAAGTTCTGCTATGTTCTTTTACCTTTTTATCTGGTTTCCATGGGATTTTTGTTCATGGCATTGGTAGTAGAAAAAAACTTTCGTTTTCTTATTCCTGTGCTATGGAAAGGAGTAGGGCAGTAGGAGTTGCCCTGATAATTGTCAACAGTGATTATAAAGAAAAAATAGAAGTCTTTCACTTCAGATAGTAAAAAGTATAATTTTTAATATTATCACTTATGCATAGTGAACATCGAGTATAATCTTAAGGGGGCATTATATTAGCCTACAGATACCATGCATACCAGAACAATAACTTTAGAGTGTTTATAGATTAGAAGATACATTCCCTAGGAGTTATAGTTCATGAGTATTGATCCTTTTGCCCCTTCCACCCAAAATCCATTCTTTCTAATATGTATCACTAGAATACATTGTTAAGGAACCCTGGTGGTGTAGTGAATTTGCAGTGGGCTGCTAACTGAAAAGGCAGCAGTTTGAACCTCAGGAGAAAGAGGAGGCTGTCTGCTTCCGTAAACATTTACAACCTCAGAAACCCTAGGGAGTAGTTCTACTCTGTCCTATAAGGTGGGTCTGAGAGGGAATGGACTCGACAACAGTGAATATAGGTAACATACACTGCTGGGGACCTGGTTCATTAGTTATATTGTTATTCCTTACTTGACACCACCTGACTGAAGAAGTACTCTGAATCTCACCCATTATTTTCGTCGTTTTTTAATGTAATAGTTGAAAAATATAACTGAAGGCATGCAGAGTATACAAATATGTAACTTATGAAGCATAACTAACAAAACAAACACCAAGAAGCAAAAACAGCACTTTAGAGCTGGAACATTACAAAGCATTTTAATCAATCTCTGTGTTTCTTTGCAGTTACATCCTTCAATATTCCCCTAAGATGAAACTACTGAGTTTTCCAATGCTTCCTAAAACTGGTTTCAAAACTTAATATTTACATCTCTTAACAGTGGAGTATTTAATTTTGATTCATCAGTTATGTAATGTTGTTTAGGGTAGCTTCCCCTCCCCGTCCCCATGTGATAGGTTAAGATTCATGTGTGTATAGCTGTTCAGTTCATTCAATTTTACTTCTATACTGTATTACATACTACAATTTGTTTCTTTGAGATCCTATCATTGGAAACCTGAGTTTATTTGGAGTGCTTTTATTATTAAAAAAATCCAGGATTTATACCTAAGGTATAATTGTATAATTGGTAGATTTCGAGCGTCAAATATTCAACTTTTTATGACACAAAGTCACATCCCACAACAGTTGCACCATTCTTTCATTTTCCCAGTTATTCTACTTTCCTTGTCTTTCATCTGATTTCTTTTTATTTTGCCAGGAACAAAGACACCTTGACAGTAGTAGTCTTAAAAAAATAGTAATCTTTGCTGTCTCATTTGTATCATAAAATCCACCAGTTAGAAAACACTCTTACCTATTTCTTAAACATCTTTATTATATGTGTGCGATATATGTTTTTGTTTAATCTACCCTTGTCAACCATAAGCTTTCTGAAAGCTGCTTTCATTTCTGTTCAGTTGCATTTTTGCTACTTATGTCATCTTTTTATTCTTTTACTTGCAGAATTGAAAGATTGCAGACTATAATTCCATAACAATTTAAGTTTACATGTAATTTAAACTTAAATGTTACTCAGATGCAGTGAGAGTGCATGCACGTGTGTGTACCTGTGCATGTGTGTTTTATCATTTTCTTTACTTCCTTTAACAGGGCCCAGCTGGTCCCGCTGGTTTACCAGGGCCAATTGGTCCCCCAGGACTACCTGGTTTGATGGTAAGCACCCTTCTATAATTATATTTCCCCTCTTTTTCTTCCTGACTTATTTCACACATGTTAATATGTGCATTACTTAAACATATAAGATATTTTCAGCATTCTTAATCTATGCATGTCTCACGTAAGGGAGATTTGACAATGTTCTGGTGAGGACTATACGTTCTAACATCTACAATTCACAGATGCTAAAAAGGAAGTACATGAAAGGAAAGATCTGAAGTATTTCATGATTTGTCTCTTGATGTGACAATGTTGAGGGCGATTCTGGCCATCTCAAGAGGTTATCAAGGACAGTTCTTTAGTCAGTGACTGAAATATGCTTCATCAGACTGCACTTTGCTGTTTAAGAGCAAAATCAGAGATACACATGAAATAGTGGTTCTCAGTTTTCAGGGGCTGGGTCAGAACAAAGGAGCCCTGGAGATGATGTGGTGGTTAAGAACTCAACTGCTAACCAGAGGGGTCAGCTATTTGAGCCCACCAGCCGCTCCTGGGGAGAAAGATGACAGTCAACTTCCATCCTATAGGGTCATTATGAGTTGCAATCTGCTCAGTAGCCATGGGTTTGGTTTGGGAATAAAACAGTAGGATTGATGAAAGGGGTGGGTTACCCAACAGTGGATTTGTGTACCCCAGGAGAGAAGCAAGCACTTTCAAAGCCCCTGAAAGTATAGCCAATTCTCCTATTTTACTAGATTCTATGGCCTCTTATATTTTCTACTCAAATAAAGCCTAAATATTTTTACCCCTGAAATACTCCAATTTCATTCAAGTCAGGTTTTAGACTCAGAGTTTTGCAGTTGCCCTCTTAAAAGGGAAAGAGAATTGTACTTGAGTCAAAGTAATTTCTCAGATGCCACTCTCTCTCTCATCTGCCGTATATTTAAGTGACAGTTTTCATTATACCTTTATAGATTGTACATTTTTGCTTGTGACAATTGGCCCTTTTCTCTTGAATAAAGAAACAAAGGTCAGGCGATTTTAAAAAGAAACTACCAGAAAAGAGTGTGGTTTCTGCTTTCCTACATCTCTTTATAAGATGATTACCAAACCTTTGTTTTGTTTGTTTTAGGTATAGACCTCCAGCAACACATGAGATTGAACTGTGGCCATTTTTCTTAATTCTGTTGTTACAATATAGGAATGCTCTCAGTGTGTTATTACACCTAAAATTCCTTGACGTTAAATTCATAGCATTAAATTTTCATAACCACTTCAATAATTGACTGTACACTTCAAAATGTCTCCTCCATTAGTGCTGATTCAATGGTTGAAGCAAAATGCTTGAAATGGCACCATTGTACAAGATGTGAATTTTTTTTAAATCGCTGAGATTAAGAGGTGATGTACATGGGCAGACAATTGCCTATTTAAATGTTCATACCTTGAAACATTCCCAGTAAGGAAACTCAGAGTGCAGAAAAAGAAAACTGGAGTAAATAATAAATCGTGTTTTTTAATAACTAGTGAGTGCACTGCTTTATGATTGGTGTAGAGTTTCAGAAGGGTGATCAAGTGAGTAGATAGGGAGGAAATCAATGAAATTCGTGCAAGGTAAGTGGAATTCCACTACAGTTTATTATAAGTTGATCTGTAGTTTTATATGAGGGTAATTTGAAAACTTGCCCGTAATTGTGATATGAGAAATTTGGTGTGTTTTTGGACATTAAATTTTATATTCTTTTTGTTGTTGTTGTTCATTCTTCTATCCATTCCTTTTCCTGCCCAGTCATATGTGGTCGCCAGCAGTCTCACCTTTATCTAGTTTGTTTTAATAAATTTAAATGTGTCTGTGACTAAAAAGCAGTGAGAAAAAAAACAGGAAATATTATTTTGAAGGGGTAAATTGGTTTTCTGTTCTTGCTTTATGAAACTAATGAGTGCTTTGATGAATGTATGGTTTTAACCCTTTGTTTTCCCATTAAATGTATTCTAAGGGTCTACCAGGTCCACCAGGACTTCCAGGAACAAAGGTAATTTTTCTTTCTTTATTTGATTTGCATTCTTTTTTTGCAGTTGTTAATAAGATTTTAAACTGAAACCTCTCTTTTCAGGGGAACATGGGCTTAAATTTCCAGGGACCCAAAGGTGAAAAGGTAAGTAAAGGAAAACAATTAGCTATTCAGACCTAAGCTTTCTTCTTTTATAGTCATTTGAATCTGTCTTTTTCTTTCTTTTGCTTCTTTCAACTGACTGAGCTTACATGTTACATTATTCTCTGTGGTAGGTTATTATGAAGCCTCACTCTTTCATTTCATCTTAAAAACAGGGTGAACAAGGTCTTCAGGGCCCACCTGGGCCACCTGGACAGATCAGTGAACAGAAAAGACCGATTGATGTAGAGTTTCAGAAGGGTGATCAGGTGAGTAGATAGGGAGGAAATTGAGGAAGATCTTGCAGTGAGAGTGGCATTCCATTACTGTTCATTATAAGTTGGTTTGTAGTTTTATATGAGGGTAATTTGAAAATAAGACACCCTGGTTGAACCAGGTTGAAACCCACTAGCCGCTCCATGGGAGAAACACATGCCAAACTGCTTTCCTAAAGATTATAGTCATGGAAACTCTATGAGGGCAGTTCTGCTCTATCCTATAGGTTGTCTGCGAGTCTGAATCAACTCAGTGGCAATGAAAAAACAAACAAACAAAACCTACGGTCATTGAGTTAGGACAGAGTAAAACTGCCCCTGTCACTTTCGGAGACAGTAAATCTTTACAGAAGTAGAGAGCCTCATCTTTCTTCTGAGGAGCAGTTGGTGGTTTCAAACTGCCTACCTTCTGGTTAGTAGCCCAGTACAAAACCCACTATGCCACCAGGGCTCCTAGTGGCAATCAGGTAATTAAAAGACATACCACACAATTCACCTGGTTGAAATGTACAATATGTTTTAGCATATTCACAGGATTGTGAAACATTGGCACTATCTAAATTTAGAACATTATCATTATCCTTTTACATCCCCTTGAAAAAATCTGTACCGATTAACTGTAAATTTTCTGTACCCTCTACTTTGCTATCACAAGATAAACACTAATCTGACTTCCATCTCTATAATCCAAACCCAACCACTGCTGTTAAGTTAAATCACACCCAGAGCGACCCTGTAGGACAGAATAAAATTGTTATATATGGGTTTTAAGGCTTTAAATCTCAATAGAACCAGACTGCCACATCCTTCTCCCTTAGAGCAGCTGGTAGGGCTAAACTAAAATCCTTTCAGCTAGCACCTCAATACTTAGTCTCTGTTGCCATTAGGGCAGTGGTTCTCTACTTGTGGGTGGTAACCCCTTTGGGGGTCGAACAACCCTTTCACAGGGGTCTCCTGATTCATAACAGTAGCAAAATTACTATTATGAAGTAGCAACGAAAATAATTTTATGGTTGGGGGGTCACCACAACATGAGGAACTGTATTACAAAGTTGTCGCATTAGGAAGATTGAGAACCACTGCATTAGGGCTTCTTCCATCTCTATAGAATTCCTTATTAAAGGCATTTCATATAAACAGAATCATGTATGAGGTGACTTTCTATATTTAGTGTCATGTTTTCAAATGCGTCCATGTTATAGCATGTATCCAAATTTAACTCTTATACTTAAATAATATTTCACTGTATGGATATACTAAGATGTGTTTATCCATTTATCATTTCATAGACATAAGATCCATTTCATAGGATTTTTCCATTTAGGCTATTATGAATGGTGCTACTGTGAATATTTTTGTACAATTTTTGTGTGGATATGTTTTTAATTTATTGTGATATGTCCCCAGAAGTGTAATTGCTGGGCAAGCTCAGTTGGTAGAATATAGGACTGTTAATCCTAGAGTCTTGGGTTCAAGCCCGACGTTCAGAGGTTTTATCTACGGAACCTTGGTGGTGCTGTCTAGCAATTGGTAGCCTCTTAACCACAAAGTTGGTGGTTCAAACTCACCAGCTGCTTCAAGGAAGAAAATTGAGGCTAACTATTCATAAAGAATTGCAGCCTCTGAAATCCTATGGGTTGGAAACAACTCGATGGCAGTGGGTTTTATTTATGATGACTTTACATTTAACTTTCTGAGAAATTGCCAATTTTTATTTCATAATGGCTACCCAATTTTGCATTCCTATCAGGAATAAATGAGGGTTTCCGTTGCACCACATCCTTGCCAATTTTAGTTATTGTCCATCTTTTTTATTATAACCAACCAGGTAGGTGTAAAGGAGTTTTGGTGGTGCAGTGGGTTAAGCAACTGCCTGGTAACCATAAGGTTATCAGTTCAAACCCACCAGCCATTCCAGGGGAGAAAGATGAAGCCATGTGTTCCTGTCAAGGTTTATAGTATCAGAAATCGTGTAGCAGTTCTACTTTGTCTTGTCTAGTCATTCTAAGTCAGAGTTGACTTCAGGGCTAAGGATGTTAGTGAGGGGTACCGCTGCATCAAATGGTAATGCTGTCTAATTTTCTGAGGAATTATAAGACTGTTTTCAAAGCAGTTTGTACCATTTTACATTACCACTGGTAATGAATGAGAATACCAATTGCTTCACAGTTCACAGATATTTGGGGATGTTCATTTTGTATCCCATAACCTTCCAGACATTATTTACTAGCCCTATTATTTTTATTAGTGAATTCCTTAGGATTTTCTATATGCAAGAATATGCCATCTGCAAATAGAGATAATTCTAAAAGGCAAAGAAATTCAAACAGAGTACACAAAATTATTAAGAGGAAATTATAGCTCAAGACACATTCAAAAATAGGAGAAAAGTGCCACTTCAATATATGATTTTAAATTATGGCCCACACAAAGTATACTCTAACATACACTGCTAAGTAATTTGCAACTGCTATCTCACAACCACTTATAGTAATTTCAGAAAAATTAAGGAAATTGGTGAGATGAAGAAAATAGGCATATGTTATACATAGATATTTAAGAGAACATATTATTTTTTCAAAACAATAAAAAATTGTCATGTGTAAATTAGATTGTTTCCATCTGTGCAGTCTAAAATGTTTCAGCAATGGAATTAGGACGTTGAGTCAGTTTATTCCATGTGAGATTCAACATTTTAAGGACCAGAATTGTCCAAAAGCATAAGCCACTGTCTTGTAGGGTGTGGATAGAAGTGTTCCGCTGAGACATGCCCAGGAATTTTCAATGTTGGCTACACATTGTAATGACCTGGGGAACTTATAAAAATCCAATTGCTCATGCTGAACTGCAGAAAAATTAAGTTTGCATCTCAGTGTGTAACACTCAGTTATTTTTTAAAGTATATTTTAAAGTTCCCAAGAGTTTCCACTTGTAGTCAATGTCTAGAAACACTCAGATAGATGATTATTAAAGGAAGTGTAATAGAGCATTTTCTGTTATTAAATGAACTCCTTAGACCAGCAGTTCTCAACCTGTGGGCCGCAACCCCTTTGGGAGTGAACAACCCTTTCACAAGGGTCGCCTGATTCATAACAGTAGCAAAATTACAGTTATGAATAGCAATGAAAATAATTTTATGGTTGGGGTGGTCATTACAACATGAGAAACTATATTAAAGGATCGTGGCATTAGGAAGGTTGAGAACCACTGCCTTAGATGATAGTGAAGTAAGAAGATAACCTTACTTAAGGTGGTACGTTTTGATGTCGTTTTGAAGGATATAGTGAACTGATGTAGAAATGACTAGGGAAAACTTTTAAAAATAGGAAATAACCAACCCAGAATGTACACCTATCTGCTGCCATAAAAGTTTGGTGGATTAGTAAGGAGATAAGTCTGGGTTGTCTAGTTTGTTACCCATTGGGCTGCTAACCAAAAGGTCAACAGTTCAAACCCACCAGATGCTCTGTGGAAGAAAGACTGGACTTTCTATTCCCATAAGGAGTTAAGGTCTTGGAAACCCACAGGACCAATTCTAGCCTGGCCTATATGGCCGCTATGTATCTGAATCAACTCATTGGCAGTGGATTTTTTTTTAATAATATGAGGGTAAGTCAAAAGTTTTGCTACTAAAAATATAGTTCAGTCATACTCAAATTTATTTCAAACAAATGTGTATAAACTCATCTGTACAGTCAGTGGATGGCTGCAGACCAGTTTTCTCAGCTTGTCTTAGTCTTGTTCTCTCACTTCCTTTGAATGGATTTCAACTCATGAGCTAGTCTTGTTAGGATTCATTAAGGGGGAAAAAAGTATAATCAAAGTAGTGGCTTCCAAAGGGATCTGCTGGGCCACCTAAATTCTATGCAGAGACGTCAACTCAGAAGATTTGGGCGACTCATTTTGGAAATTTCAAAGAGGTAATCTCGATAGATTTTCTCAACGGACATGGGAAAATCACGGGGGCTTATTAGGAAGCAGTTTTAAGGAAAGTGTAAGCTGCACTGGTGATAGAAAGGCCAGGAAAGTTGTGTCTAGAATTGTTTCCATCACAACAATGCACCTGCTCATTCTAGGTGTGTAGCAAGGGTTGTCCTAGGAGAATTTCATTGAGAGACTTTGCCGTACTCAGCTTGCATTTCTTATCTTCCCCCTCTAGACTTCTTTTAGTTAGTCAAACTCAAAAGAATATTTTTAAAAAAACACAATTTGAATCCCTCAAGGATTTGACTTGGTGTAAACTGAAGACCACAAAATTCTTCTGGTGAAGGTTAGAGAGCTGGAAACACTACATTTAGTTGTATATAGTCCTAGATAAGGATATGTTAAGAAACAATAGTGTCACATTTTAGGCTTTTTGTTTTTGTCTAATAAAAGTTTCTCTAATTGTGTAGCAATACTTTATTTACTGTTATATGCCATGCCAAAATATGAGTTGCTGGAAGAATTAGCAGACCAGGCTAACAGAATCTGAGAGAGATATTCTTCACTATGCTGTGTTGAAGACCAAAATTATGGAGCCTAGGAGTTGATAAAAGCCCTGGTGGTATAGTGGTTTGCACATAGGACTGCGAACCACAAGGCTATCAGTCTGAAACCACCAGTTGCTCCGTGGAGAAGATGAGGCTTTCTACTCCCAGAAAGAGTTACCATGTCAGAAACCGAAGGGTGCAGTTCTACTTGGTTCTATGGAGTTGCAATGAGTCACAATTGACTCAAAGGCAGTGAGCGTTTGAGGAGTAGATGAAAATTACAAGATTTAGAGCAGGAATGATTGTGAGAGCAAAGTCTCTTGTGAACTGGGAAACATTGTGAGTTAGATGCAAATAAAAAGGAACACTGGTGACATAGTGGGCTGCTAACCACAAGGTCAGCAATTCAAACCTACCATTCATTTCTTAGGAGAAAGATGAGGTGTTCTGCTCCAGTAGATTTGCAGCTTTAGAAGTCCATAGGTTTGCTCTGATTGGAACCAGCTCTAATGACAGTATGTTTGGAATTGGGGGTAGGGGTGAAAAAAGGCCAAATTTTTTTAAATTACAGGACTTCTCTCCTTGGTCTATAACAATATGGTGATGAAATGTATGCAAAATTAGGTCTTGTTAAAGTAAATTCTCATAATTTTAAATGACTGCTCTTTTCACTGGTATGCCAGGAAGAATATGTTATGAAGTTTTATTGGGCTTGGTAATAGTGATCTGATACCGTGCTTCTAGAATAGAAGATGGCAGGGATCAAATATATCCATTAGAGCAGTCCTCAAACTACTGCCCATGGGCCACATGCGGCCCGCCAAGGACATTTATCCGGCCTGCCAGGTGTTTTAGCCCCATTTGTTTTTTTACTTCAAAATAAGATGATATGTGCCATGTGCATAGGAATTTGTCCATAGGTTTTTTAAAAACACTATAGTCCGGCCCTATAACAGGTCTGAGGGACAGTGAACTGGCCCCCTGTTTAAAAAGTTTGAGGACCCCTGCATTAGAGAATGCTGGTCCACTCTTGATCAAGCAGTGTAGGCATTTTTGTTTCACTTAAAAACTAATGACAGTTAAGAAAACAAATTGTTGTGAAACTGCATTGTCAATATGGATTGAGCTATTCAGTTCTGTGCAAAATGTATGTTTGCTGACAATCTTAAAGTCTCTTACTTTTTAGTATTCTTTCTTCATACAAAAATGTTTTATAAGAACGAAAAATCACTAATACTTTCATTTCAAGGATTGTTATTTGTTCAGCCTCTAGAAACTTGCTAAAGTGAGCAAAGATGGCTCAAGGTTTTTTTTTTAACCACCTTATTTTAACTTTGAAATCGAAATATCCTGTTATATTTGATGATAAAACATGAATCGAGTTGAGCTTTTCAGTCACTTCTACTAGCTTGAAAGGAGTATGTATGTTCCAGCATTAATATTACTTTCATTTTTCCTACAACTGTATAGGGGCTTCCTGGTGACAGAGGGCCACCTGGACCTCCAGGGATACGAGGTCCTCCAGTAAGTAACCTAAAATGCTTGACCATCCTTAGTGTCAGTTTGTATTGGTGCACAGTATCCCTTGAACTTATGTAAAACTTCTGTTGTGTGTATAGGGTCCTCTAGGTGGGATGAAAGGTGAGAAGGGTGAGCAAGGAGAGCCAGGCAAAAGAGTAAGTCTTATCATGAATAATATTGTTTGCAAATAAAACTGTGCATTTATCTACATAATATGCGTATACTTTTATTCTTTCCTCATAAAGCTTATTTTCATAGTTTAAAAATGTCATGACCAGAAGCTCTAAGATGGGAAAAATGCTTATTATATTTTTTAACCTCCTACATCCTCACTAACAAATTTATATTCTTGTCCTATTATCTATTTATTTATTTTTGGTATCCAATAGGGTAAACCAGGCAAAGATGGAGAAAATGGGCAACCAGGACTTCAAGTGAGTAGCAAAGGCCCTTCTCCCCGCTCCCCCTACAAAATAGCATTATTTGTAGATGGTGGAAGAGATTCAGGCTGATGAATCAGGCTGATAGTTTGGAGGAATAGAAATGATTCTTTTTAGTTTAGCTATAACAGTAAGATTCTTCTATGGTGTTTAAAATCATATTTTTAAGTCAGATTGATATTCAATTTTCAAACAGTAAAATTCACCCTTTTTATCACATGATTCTGTGCATTTTGTATACAGTTATAAAACCACTACTATAATCAACACCATTTCTATCACTTCCCAAAATTTCCTCATACAATTTGCTAGTTATCTCCTCCCCAGCCCTGAGTCCTAGCAGCTACTGATTTTTTTCTCCATCCTCATAGTTTTGCCTTTTCCAGAATATCATATAAATGAAATTTTAAAGTTTGTAGCCTTAAAGAACTAGGATTCTTTCACACAACATAATGCATTATAGTTCGTATGAGTGCTTCATCCCTTCTTATTAGTGAGCTGTATTTTGTTGTATTGCTGTAATACAGTTTCTCCATTTACCCATTTACGAATATTTTTAAGGATACTTGTTTTAGGCCATGCCCAAATAATTTCTTTTAGAGAAATTAATACAAGACTTGACCCAATGATGTGGAAATGAAAGATGTCCCAAATGTCTTACTTTTCCAAAATGCTATTATCCCTTATTATCACTCCATTATCCCTGATAATCAACCACCACTTCCCCCTTTATTATATTCCCTCACATCCCAGGGTTTTGCAATTCAACACACCATCTCACAGAACCCATGATCTTTTAAAGAGATGGCTCACGTGGTTGCTTCTGTATATGCTCAGTTTAGAAGTGGAAGTAGCAAAAAATTGGCTTTGTGGTTTTTGCCTTCTACTTCTAAGGAAACAAAGACTGGTGACTTGAGTCACACGCTCTAGTGGGGTGGTGGTGGTGGGGAGGAGGGCTCAATATATATCACAACCTAATGAGCATAATAAGTAACTCTCCCTTCAAAATGGGATTCCAATCACAGGTATATAGAATAGAATTTATAAAACATCACAGAAGGGAGAACTATGGCTGGAAGAGCCATATTAAGCAATTAAGACCATTATGGAAAAAAATGATTTTATTATTTTGTGTGTGTGAATTTAATTTTTCAGTAAAACTTTGACAGATAATTTTTCTAGTGACTATAAAAATGGAAGAAATTCATACATGGAGTCTTAGAAATGTCTTTCAATCAGCCTTTCTTTGAGTCCAGAGCATCCACAATAGGCACAAAAAGTGGTTTGCATGGTAATTTAGAAAATTTGATGAAGTTTCATGATCACCCCAAAGGAAAATGTTAATTCTTATCAAAGTGGAAATTGGTAGTCATAGAATAGATAAATTGATTTAAAGATTTTCTTTTTTATTAATAAATCATTTTATTGGGGGTTCATCCAGCTCTTATAACAATCCAATGCATCAGTTGTATCACACACATTTGTCCATATGTTGCCATCACCATTTTCAAAACATTTTCTTTCTGCTTGAGGCCTTGGTATCAGCTCCTCTTTTTTCCCACCCTCCCACCCTTGTGAACCCCCAATAAATTATAAATTATTATTATTTTCATATCTTACACCATTCTCCATTTCCCTGCACCCAAGTTTCTGTTGTTCACCCCCCCACCCCACCCATCCCCCCGGGGTGGGGCGGGTTAATACATTGATCATTGTAGTTGGTTCTCTGTTTCTCTCCCTTCTCCCCCAAACTTCCCCCTACCCTCACGGTATCGCAACTCCCATTACTGTTCCTGAGGGATTTATCTGTCCTGGATTCCATGGGTCGAGAGCTCTTATCTGTACCAGTGTACATGCTTTGGCCTAGCAGATTTGTAAGGTACAACTGGGCTCACGACAGTGGTGGGGGTGAGGAGGATACATTAAAGAGCTAGAGCAGTGATTCTCAACCTCCTAATGCCGAGACCATTTAATACAGTTCCTTATGTTGTGATGACCCGCAACCATAAAATTATTTTCATTGCTACTTAATAACTGTACTTTTCCTACTGTTATGAATTGTAATGCAGGATGTATTACTGTTGTGAATCTGATAAGCAGGATGTATTAGGAGACCCCTGTGAAAGGGTCATTCGACCCCCAGAGGGGTTGCGACCCACAGGTTGAGAACTGCTGAACTAGAAGAACGTTGTGTGTTCCATTGGTGCTATGTTGCACCCTGGCTGACTCCTTTCCTTGTGACGCATCTGTGAGAGAATGTCCAATTGTCTACAGATGGACTTTGGTTCTCTACTCTGACCCTATCATTTGCATGGATATATTTGTTTGTTTGGGGTCTTCTGATGCCTGATACCTGATCCCATTGGCACCTCATGATCACACAGGCATGTGTGCTCCTTCCGTGTGGGCTTATTTGCTTCCCTGCTAGATGGCTGCTTGTTTAACTTCAAGCCTTTAAGCCTCCAGACGCTATATCTTTTCAAAGTCGGATACCATGAAGACCACATTTGCTTATGCACCCATTTGACTTCAGCGATCATGTCAGGAAGGTGCCAGTATGCCAAGGTTATTAGAACAAAGTGTTCTTGCGTTGAGGGGGTACTTGAGTAGAGAGACCCTTATGCCCGTCGGCTACCTTAATACTTAACATTTAAATATATGTACATCTATGTCCCCATTGTTATATATTAATATATTTACATAATTGCATGCCTATATTGATACCTCTATAAATGTCTTCTGCCTCCTCGTTCTTTCCTCCATTTCTTTTTACTTTCCTCCTGTCCCACTATCATGTTCGACCTTTATTCTTTGGCTCTCAGTACTTTCTCTCTGCTACATTGCATTTGATCAAACCCCACCGGAACTCTACGCCCTCCTCACCATCAATTTTAGATCTCTTATTGTTCCCTTGTCCCTAGGTTTGTTGGCTCCTCCCTCCCTTTCTCCCACCTCCTCCTCTCCCATGTCCCCCCAGAGCTGCCTCCTGCCTATCTTATATGGATAGACATGAGAAAAAGAAAAGAAAGCCTATAAATAGTTCCAGGTCTGTCTGATGACCGTCTGAGTGTTTTTCAAGCAGATCTGGTTAAGTGCCACTGATTCCGAAATCTGTTTGGGAGATTCCTTGAGGACTTCATTGCTTTGCTCCCCTTACTGCTTGAGGTAGTTAGTTTATTGTGCCAACCTGGCCGATAAACACGTGTGGGGTTAATTGAAGTGCGGAGGGATAAATGGCTCAGTGAGCCTGACCTTTCTAGTTCTCGAGTCTCTTGCTTTCTGATGGTCGGAGCCGGGTGCAGCTGCCTTAGCCAGTTCCCTGCTGCAGCTGGCAAGGCTTACTTCCTGCCAGACATCCCCAAGGAGAAACCTCATGGACCTACCCCAATGCAGCCCTGGGTGCTGGAGCACCTGTGTGGAGAGCCCTGGCAATGCTGAGATGTTTACACATTCACTGATTGGGCTTTCCTCCTGCAGTCAGCATCATTGCATGTGTCTTGTGAGCTGGAGTAGGATTTTGTGGATTGGTGTTGGACATATGGGTTAATGGGCTATTGTTGGACTTGTGGGCTTAGGCAGCACTGGGTTGGGATGTTTTCTTGATGCATACTTAACCTTTATATGACACTCTCTATCATACATGAGTTACTGTGGATTTTTTTTCTCCAAAGTACCCAGACTCATACCTTCTGAGGTCCCTTTGTGTTTCTTTTCTTTTAGGACTTCCTCTGACAATGCGTTTTGTTTCTTCTGTTTTCATTGAGGTTGTTGTGGGTGCTGGATCTCTGCATGTCATTTTGGAGGAGCTTGGCACCATTTTCCATTAGGATGATTTTCTAAATAAGCAACCCTGGACATACAACCTTTTGTTTCATTAATGTATTAAACATAAAATTGGATAAGGGAAGTTATGTTCAAGGTCTCAGTTCCTGACTTCTTCTGGTACAATTGATTTCTATTTTGTGATTCAAAGGTGTTGGAAGTGACCCCATGACAGTGAGTATGAGATTTGGTTTGTGATCCATGTGGTGACAATGTTTAACAGTTGTCCCTGGTTGTTTTCAACAGATTTCCCTGGGACTTATGGGGCAGAGGGTATTTCCTATATGCTCTGGATGAGCTGGAATCAGATCAAATGGACAGCACTATGAGTGGTTCTTCCACGGAGTCACTAGGAACAGCAAATAATGACATTTCTCTAGGTGTAGATCTTCTAAGGCTATCCAACTCTATTCTTCCCCCTCCAGTAGCTCCTCGGTTGCTGATTGTCACTCTGATTACAGACTGTTGTCAAGACTGTGGTAGAGTTGAGGAAGGGGCTTATGGGAAAACAGCAAGTCTATATGCCACTCAACTGACTGCTTTTACCAAGATTCAGCCATGTTTTCTGGGTTGTTGTAAGTGTTTGGTTAATTTCTGGAGCTTGGAAACATTTGCTTCTAACCTTTTTTTTTTTCAGTGTCCTCATTACTTTTGTGAAGAAGAGAATTTTTGAAGTTCCTTATTCTGCTGTTTTCACTGATATCACTTTATTATCTGTGTTTTAAAGGGTTTGCCTGGTGATCCTGGTGATCCTGGTGAACGAGGAAGGGATGGTGAAAAAGTAAGAATTTTAATGTTTTGAAGTGGCTGGTTTTCTTCTCATTAACATTATCGTTTTCTTCCAAGGTTTACTTCTGAATGAAAAACAATTGTTAATAACTAGGTCTTGTGTTGAAAACATGCCTTCTCTATCCATTTGTTTTACCACTCCCTCTAAATTTTCTTCGTTGGCCCAAATCACAATATATGCAGTGGAAATACATTCAGCATCATTTCACTTTAACATTTATGTTTGCATAGCTTTTATTCTCTAGAGAGAAGTTTCAGCATTGTTGTATGAGATTCTCATACTAAAAAAGCCTTACACCTGTGAATTCAGAGTGTCTCCATTAAATGTTGCCATTCTATATGCAATTGTTAGTGAGTCAGTGGCTAATTATTTGTCATCTTTTCATTTGGATATCCAGCCTAAGTGAGGTCATTTATTTTACTATCTGTTTTTTAAAGTAACTTTGAAAGAATATAGGAAATATGCAGTGAACCTATTTATAGCACCTCATAAAATATCTAGTCTTCCTTTTTTTTGGGTTTCTAATTCTTTGATAACAAAACCAAGACTGGAAAACCCTGTTTCTCAGGAAAAGAAAAAGATGTTACAAACTTGAATGTAATTCAACTGGTGGTTTGTTTCTAAACTAAGTCCAAGTTCTACCTTGGCCTTAAGAGGTACAGCTAGAATAAAGGAAGATATATTCAGAAAACAGCTTGTTTCATTTTTTCAAGTAGTAACTTCTTAAACTAAAAGGAGCTTAAAGATACATGAAAGGTTCCTATGAACAAATTCTCACGCTGAAGAGGGATGTGTGAGGGACAGCACTCCTTAGGTCTTAGCTCATAGACTCACCATTTAAATACTGTGTTCTTCTATGCTATTGTAGCTATTGGTTAAAGATAAAAATTTTGTCTGGGTATGTATTTTCTTAGCTTCTAAGAGCAAGCATACAGAAGCAGTTGTGATTTATTAGCTGTTCCAGATGCTCCATCTCTCCGAAAACATCTGCTAGTAATGGAAATGCAGCAACAATTGTAAGAATGTCATAGAACCAGGCAGTGTTTCGTCTGTTGTACCTAGGAGTTACTGTGACTCACAACCACTTGACAGAACCTAAGAACAATAATGGAAATTATACTAGCTTTATGACCTTGGCCAATTTTATATAAAGGAACATGTTTAAATTAAAGTGCTATGGTTTTGATTGATTCCAGCAGTGCCAAATTTTCTATTTAGTATTTATGTTATAAGGTGTCAGGATGAGGCAAATGGTTAAGCACTCAACTACTAACTAAAAGATTAGTAATTCAAACCTATCCAGAGGCTACTCAAATGAAAGACCTGGTGACCTGCTTTCAAAAAGGTCACAGTTTTATAAAGTTATCAAGTGTAATTCTGCTCTGATAAAGTAAACATGAGTCAGAATCAACTCAAAGGCAAATGGTTTGGTTTTTTAAATGTATTTATTTTATGTAATACTTATAATTAGCTAGAAAATGGGAACCTTAAAGATTGGTTCAACTTCGTGTTTATAAAAGCTTAAGAGGGATTAATTTATTTCATTAAAATCTTATTGCTATTAAGTCTGGGTCAATATCATAAGCCTCCCCAGGCTTCATCTAGTATTATTTCATTAACTCATGTTGTATTTATCATATGCAATATTTTATTAGGGATTCATGGGCTTATATGGAAAATAATTTACCCATATTCATGAAGAAATTGATATTTTACTGTGATTTTCACTAATCTATTTAAAATTTTTATTTATCAGGGCCAAAAAGGTGACATTGGCCCAACTGGGCCACCTGGACTTGTAAGTTTACTTTTACTCTTCATTTATCCAATTTATTAATGTATTGTCCTTTTTGTGCTGTCATAACTTTACCTTCTTGAATTATCTCCTCATAGATCATAAAACTCCAAATCATTATCAAAAATCACTTGACTGAATTTCTACTAGCCCCAAAGTCTTCACACCTAAAATCTTCTAAGATCTTTGTGGTGTTCTGATTATGTATTGTTTCTCCATAGTGAAGACCCAAAATTACCACATTGAGTTGTTTTGCATCAGTGCTTGCCAAAATCAGTTCTCAAGCAACCAGCAGGTGGTGCAAGTGTTTCTTACAAAGGTTCAATAAAGAAACTGTTGAGGAACTTGGGGTTGGACCTTTCCTCTGTAGAGTTCAGAGAAAAGATGGATTTGGTCCTAATAGGTTTTCTCAATTTTTAATTGTCTAATTCACACCTCTTTCTTTCCTGAGTGTATGCTTTCTAGGGGCTCTTAATAACAAATGTAGGAAAGAGCTCCATAAAAAAATAAATTGGGAGGTTATGGATTTTCTGTCCTATTTGCACTCACCATGAAATGTCAGCTCAAAGATATTCAGTCTGACTAGAAACAACCTATTATTGCTGAGGTTCTCCATATAAGTTTCTCTTTGTATGAAATCTGATAAGACTCTTTACTTTGATTGCATTGAAACCTCAGAGGAGCTAGTTCCAGAATACCTTTTCTACATGTTTGGAAATTATAATAACATTTGCATTATACTTTTTCATTCATAGTGAATATCAGGCGTTTATATTTGCGTGTTCTCAGTTTAATGAGGAGAGATATTTCAAACCTCTTAGACAAGTTTATTTACTTTCATTTTTGAAATCAGAGTTGTCATTTAAGGAATGGCATGATTAAATGTGAAGGAATATACAGGGGGGAAAATGTAACCTGAAATTTAGAGAGTATAGTCCTAGCCAAAAGTTCACTTAAAAAAATCATTGTCCAAGTTTTAGGTCCCCAGCTTTTGTTTCGTTCGGTCAGAATATTAATTATAGCCAATAGAGCCAGGATTGATATCACACTTTTTCAGTAGAAGCTGATTTTTACTTCAGATTGACAATTTCATAAATCTGAGGTTTATTTTACCTTGTGACCCAAGGAGGTGAATGTTGTCATTTTAATATGAAATTTCTTTAGAAGCAACTTACGTAGAGAGCATCTAAGGATACAGAGAGAAAACTAATAATCAGTTGGTTGGGTTTTCCTTTTAAAAAGAAGAAAGAAGTATGGATTGGCAAAGAGCAAGAAGGGAGACAACTTTACCGATGTTGAGAATGGCATAATCAAAGGCACAGACAGGAATGTTCAAGTTGCATGAGTGGTAATAGTCAGACTTCACTCTAATAAAAATTCATTGCTAGCAATAACAGGAGATAACAGGTGAGAGAGAGGTATTGGGAATAAGAAGTGACTTGGCGGAGTCTAGGGTTAAAAGTATCATCAGACATAGTAAAAAGTAGTAAGCAATTTTGTGTCCTTAAGCAGGGTAGTTACCACAGAAAGATTGATTTTTGAGGAAGTGTATTCTAGCAGTAGACTTGAATTCAAAGGTACAGGCTCAAAGGTGCTTCTGTGAGTGCAATTGTAAGGTGAGGATAAGTAGCTGGGGCAACAGAAAAGAATAGAAAAATTGGAGAAACTTTTTCAGTAAAAAATTGTCAGGCTCAGCTGATTGGAATGAATTGAATGTGAATGAAAAGTTAAGACAGAAAAAAAAATTCTAGCTTTATAAGCATGAGACTCAGAAGAGTAATATCATTGGTGACATTGGAAAGTTTCTATTTGGTATGAATATTTCCATAATGTATAATGTGATTTATAATCTGTGTCCTAGTCTTAATGATTTTGCATCTGAACACTTTGTGAAAACATGGCCCTATAATCATATGCAATTGATATGTTATATTCAACCGATATGTTATTTTCATTACAACAAGCCTTTTTGAGTTTCTTTTGTTTTGTTTTGTCATTGTGGATGTTGGTGATGTGTGTGTGTGTGTGTTTCATAATAAAGGTAATTCCTGGGCCTGGGACCGGTGTAACTGTGGGAGAAAAAGGAAACATTGGAATACCAGGCCCACCTGGAGAGAAAGGAGAGCAAGGATTTCCTGGAAGACAGGGCCCACCTGGTATTCCTGGGACTCCAGGTAAAAATGCTTAAAGCTAATCAACTAATACAGTATTATATTCATTTTCGGATAAGCAGTAAGCAGAGAATAGATAACATGAATATTTTTTAATTGATAGATATTCTTATGATACTTATTTTTTTCTGACAAAATTTCTTACCTGGACTTTGAGTAGTGACTTTTTAATCCTAAACTCCCATTTCTGCCTTTTTATTGCTAATACTATACATCAAAGGATTTCATGATCCATTAAATGATTCGCCATACTTTTGTGCCTGGTATTGCAAGAGTTTTGTATAAAAATGGTAAGCAGAGCCATTCACTTAAAATCCCTAGAAACCCCGATGATGGTTATTTTGCTGTGCCATAAAATCTTCGGGCTCAATACTGACTTCACCTCATTCTCTTGTTGGAGATCTCCAGTAGAGTGGAACATTTCTAATTCGGCCACAAAGTAACCACTGTCCCAGTCTAGCCTGTTTATTTGGATGTTGCCATAGATGGAATTATAATAGGGATCTATGTAAAATTTGTGGAAGCAGCTGGTACAGTACCCAGCACACACACACACACACACACACACACACTCAATAAATTCTGGTACCTTTCTCTTCAAAAGTATTTCCCTAATGAGATAGTAACATAATGAAAGGAATGACTGTCGGTGAGAGAGAGTAAAATGAGCCCTGGTGGTATAGTGGTTATGTGTTGGGTTGTGATCCACATGGTCAGCAGTCTGAACCCACTAGCAGTTCTGCAGGAGAAAGACTAGGATTTCTACTCCTGTAAACACTTACAGTCTGAGAAACCCACAGGGGTGGGGGTCACCATGAGTCAGCATGGACTCCATGGCAATGAGTGTGATATTATGTTCTAAGAATGCATTTTGGAATTCTGATTTCAAGCTAGGGGATTAAATTCACATTGTGTTCGGAAAAAAGGAGGCTTGGCAGCGTCATAGTTACACATTGGACAGCAGGGTCAGCAGTTTGAAACCACCAGCCCCTCAGAGGGAGAAAGATGAGGCTTTCTACTTCTGTAGAAATCCACATAGACAATTCTACTCTGCCCTACAGGGTTGCCATGAGTCAGAATCAACTCCATTGCAGTGAGTGAGTGGAAAATTGAGATAAGGGATTCTTCAAGATGCAGCAAAAGAATGAAAGATTTGGAAAGTACAAAAGAAAAAAGACATCAGGAAACCGTAGGAGTTCTAAAATCTATCATGAAATTCACATAAGAGAAAATGGGTTGACAGGGAATATTTGGAAAAATAATGCCTGGGAAGGAGAAAGGGGAAACTATTAACAATGATGGATTTATCACACACACACACAAACACACACACACATAAAACCCAGGGGGGACAAATAACAGAAATGTGAGTGGTGTAAGAAATGAAAAAAATATATATATATGTATAATTTTTCAAGGTTTCATGATGGTGGTAAGGTGAGGAAGGGAGAGAAAACAGAGGAGCTGATAATAGGGGGTCAAGTAAAAGGATAATGCTTTGAAAATGATGATGGCAACATTATGTACAAGTTTTCTTGATGTAATTGATTTATGCATTGTTAAAATACCTGTTAAAGCCCCCAACAAAATGATTTAAAAGAAAAAAATAATAAATCCTTGTGGAAGAACTCCTGAAGTTCTAAGTGGGATTAAAATAATACCATAATAATACAGAAACCTATTTCAAAAATGCATTGAGAGACATTCCAGAATTCAAGGATAAAAAGATATTCTTAAAAACTATCTGATAGTATAAAACAATATATGTCCAAGGAAGATACTATCTTCAAACTGATAAGGAAAAATAACTACCAATCTGGGATTCTTTACTGCCCCACACTATCATCCTCAGGTGGAGGTAGGCTGTTTAGAATATTTGCCACTTCCAGATCTCTGAAATAATTACTGGCAGTTTTACACTAGGAAGAAAAGTAAATGCAGGATGAAGTAGGAGGGAGGAAGATACAAGAATCAGTGTTTGGGAAAGCTATTAATTAAGCATGTTAAGACTAATTAGGGATTGCTTGTTAAGAAAATGAAGTAACCTCCTGGAACTGGAACCATAGACATTATTTACAGGGCATTTCGAGGCACAGAAAGAATAGCGAGAAGTCAATTTCAAGGATTTTTGTCCTATTGGAGGGAGAGAATGTAAACACGTATTAGCCCACTAAGTTGTTAAAAAACATCCAGGCTTAAGAATATAACTAAAATTTTCATAGCAATTAATAGAGAATAGAAATGCAATATACTACTTGCAGTTGAAGAAAGAAATAGACAAAGAGTCTTGGTCTATGCCAGGGGTGACAAACTGCAGCTCTTGCACCACAGGTGGCTCTTTCAGTACATACATGTGGCTGTGATGCAAAACTGAACAACTGTAAAGGATATTATTCAGATCATGTTGATGTCGTTTGTTTGAAAAAATATTATTATTACTCTGAAATAATTTTTAAATTATTGTGAGGGACAAGACTGGCTCTTCCATCTCAAAAGTTACGGACCTGTGATCAATGCAATAGAAGTTTGGACTGGGGAAAAAAGACAAACATGGGTATAGAGAAAACAAAATAATAAGGGATTAAGCATTGGTGGTGCAGTGCTTTTGCATTGGGCTGCGATCTGCATGATGGGCAGTTCAAAGCCACCAGCAGCTCCTCAGGAGAAAGACTGAACTTTCTACTCCCATAGACAGTTACAGTTTCAGAAGCCCACAGGGGTTGCTCTAACTCAGCATTGACTCTATGGCAGTGAGTGAGTTAAACAAAATCAGTCACTGCAATTGATGTGAACGGACTAAACAGCAGTTAAAAGACAAGCACTAAAATAAAGTTGGAATATAAATGTCTACATACTATCTTGCTTAGATCTACAATCAATATTCATAGAAGCAACAGTCAAGAGATGAAAAGATGAGTTGCATTAGGTAAATCTGCAGCACAAGACCTCTTTAGAGTATTGAAAAGCAAGGAGGTTATTTTGAAGAATAAAATATGCCTGACCCAAATCATGGTATTTTCCATTGCCACAGACGAAGAATGAATGCTTTGGAGTTGTGCTGTTGGAGAAGAATATTGAAAGTATCCTGCACTGCTAAAAGTACCAACTGATCTCTCTTAGAAGTATGGCCAGAGTGCTCCTTAGGGGCAAGGGCACTGGAACTTTGTCTTACTTGCTTTGGACTTATTGTCAGGAGAGATTGGTCCCTGAGAAAGACATCTTGTTTGGTAGAATGGAGGGGCAGCAAAAGAGACGAAACCCCTCAAGGAGATAGATCAACACCGTGTCTGCAAAATGGGCTCAAGCCTAGGAACAATTATGAGGATGGCAGTGTTTTGTTTTTGTGTTGCATAGGGTTGCTTTGGGTCCAAACTGACTTGATGACACCTAGCAGCAACATTTTGAATAGGGGCGCTCTGGTGGTGTAGTAGATACACATTGAGCTGCTAACCACAGGTCAGTAGTTCAAAGCCACCGGTTTTGTTCGGAAGTTCGGAAGAGAAAGATGAGGCTTTCTACACTCATAAAGAGTGAAAGTGTCGGAAACCCACAGGGGTGGTTCTACCCTGTTCTATGGGGTTGCTAAATGTCGGAATTAACTTGATGGCAGTGAGTTTGTTTGTTTATGTTAAATAGACAGCTAAGGAAAGCAACAGAATTATTGAAAATAAAGCAATACACTTGACAAATGCTGTCAAAAGGAAAACTAGCTTAACAATTCTAATAGAATACGAAATTAAAATCAAACAAAAATAATTATAGAGGCAAAGAAAAATGTTTCCTATAGGTAGACAGAAAAGTTATGCCACAATAATAAAAAAGTCATAAACCTATGCACTAATAGGCAGAAATTAAAGATAAAAAATGCTTTGACTAGCACAGATGGGCTATCTATATGGAGGCAAGAGATAAGCTGTGAGCATCAAGAGAATACATATTAGATTATTTACAGAAATTAGACCACAAAAACAATCTTGAATTTTTTACATGTAGGTCATGCTCTGTGATCACAGTGAAGTAAAATTAGAAATTAACAGCAGAGCACTCCCAATATCTTTATATTTGTAAATGAGGAAGTGTATTTACTCTAGAGGTAAAAAGGAAATAGAGATGGAATGGAACTACAGAAAGCTAAACAGCAATGAAAGCACATAAACCTCTCTATATAAAAGCTAACTGACTAGAGCCAAATTGATTCCCTTCATTTGTCACAAAGCTAGAAAAAATAAAAGAGCTAAATTAAAAAGAAAACACTAGAAAAGATAAGCACAAAGTAATATAGGATAAATTGATAGAGATTTTAATAAAGTTGAAAACAAACTAAAACAAATATATTTTAATAAGAAAATTAATTATAATATTTTGAGAAAAATTTAAAATGAACAATATTTTGACAAATAATATCAATAGCAAAATGGGAGAAGGATTACATTTTAAAATCGGTAAACGAAGGATTATTGCCATAACATTTTTAATTACAAAAAAAGTATAAAACTCTGAGTATGAGTATGGTAAACCCCTGACAGAATTAATTCATCAAGGGCTAAAATAGAATGTAAATGTTTAGAAAATAACGATGGAAACATATTTAGAAAATAATGATGGAAACAAATAAGCTTGATACAATTAATGAATGGATTGTTATGAGAGCTGTAAGAGGCCCCAATAAAATGATCTTTAAATAAAAGAAAATATGTTTACAATGAATCTCTTCCAATAAAAAAATATTGAGAAAAAAGTTTTGCAAAATCACACCTCTAAAGTACAATACCTTGTAAAAAAATACAGTAATTTGTAGCACACGCCCATTTCTTCTGTTTTAAACAATTATCTAGATCCCTTCCTGAGGACTGCATGCTGTTAGTGAGAAAGCAGCTACCCAGTAATTCCCAGAGTTGGAAAATATAGGTAGGCACTGTATGTCCCGTGGGTTATGAAAGAATACAGTGAATACATAAATAGGCTCAAACATAAGAACAATTGTGATATGGCACAAGATCAGGCAGTGTTTTTGTTCTTTTGCACTTAGGGTCGCTATGAGTTGGAACCAACTCAATGGCACCTAGCGATAACAACATGTTCTGGACCATACAGGAAACATCACACTTCTTTTTTTTATTAATCATTTTATTTAGGGGGCTCTTACAAATCTAATAGCAATCCATCATTCAATTGTATTAAGTATACCTGTACATATGTTGCCATCAACATTTCAAAAACATTTTCTTTCTACTTGACCCCTTGGTATCAGCTCCCCTTTTCTCCCCTCCCTCCCATACGCTCCTACCCTTGTGAACCCTTGATCAATTATATATTATTATTGTTACGTAATATGTTACACTGACCATTTTCTCCCTTCACCCATATTTCTGCTATTCATCTCCCTCGGGGGGGGGGGTAGCTATATATCCAACTTTGTGATGGGTTCCCCCCTTTCTCCCTTCCCCCACCATCCCCTACCCTAATGATATTGTTACTCCCACTACTGTTCCTGAGGGTTTTATCTCTCCTTAATTTCATGTGTTCAGAGCTCTTATCTGTACCAATGTGTGTCCTCCGGTCTAGCTGGATTTGTAAGGTAGAACTAGGTCATGGTACTGGGGGGAAGGAAGCTTTCAGGAACTAGAGGAATGATGTGTGTTTTGTTGGTGCTGTACCGCTCCCTGGTTGAATTGTCCCTTCCTTCTAACTCTTTCATGGGGGAGATGTTCAATTGTCTACAAATGGGCTTTATATCTCCACTCCAACTTCCTTTTTTTGTTTCAATATACGTGTTTGTTTTGGATCTTTTGATACCTAATACCTGATCCTTGACACCTCATGATCACACAGGCTTGTGTGCTTCATCCACGTGGACTTACTTGCTTCCCTGCTAGATGGTCGCTTGTTTAAATTCAAGCCTTTAAGACCCCAAACTCTATATCTTTTGATAGCTGGACACCATCTGCTTTCCTCACCACATTTGCTTGTGCACCGATTTTGTCTTCAGCGATCATATCGGGAAGGTGGGTATCAAAGAGAATAACACGCTTCCTAATGAAACATCAGGTGCATTCTCATTCAAAGGAGAAAGATATAGATACAAAGAATCAACAGTAATGTTTGTTTTTATACTGGAGATCCTAATAATGAATGAAGTCTGAGGTATAAAGAGGTATAAAGAGAACATAATAAACAATTTTTCTTTACAGGCAGACCATATAATTATATACCCAAAGTATTACATACTCTAAAATTTTATAAGAAGCATTTTATAAATTATCAGAACTTAGAGTATTTACATAATGATCAGATATGCATCTTTATCAGGTACCATCAGGTTGGTTCCAACTCAAAGCAACCCTGTGTACAACAGAAGGAAACACTGCCTGATCCTGTGCTGTCAAAATCATTGCTATGTTTGAACCCACTGTTGGAAATACATATGCCTAAAATCAAAAGAAAAGAAAAAAACCCTTACTACCATTGAGTCAATTCCATCCCATCGCAACCCCATGTGGAATTTCCTAGGTTATAAATCTTTACAGGACCATATTGCCTCATCTTTCACATTTAAATAATTTTATTTCCACTACATCAGCAATAACAAATAAAACATAAATGGGAAATTATCTCATTCACAATGGCTTCTATAATAAAATTCAAAAAAGGTGTAAAACTAATGTATAAATAAACTCAACAATAGATGTGTAAGACCTTTCTGTAGAACTTTGTAACATTCATTTAAAATTCTTAAATAATTGGAAATTCATACCTTATGCTTTACTGAGAGGATTCAATGTTATAACACTTGATTCAACCTAAAAATAATCTTTAAATTTAAATTAATCTCACTCAAAATTTCAACAGTTTTTAAAATACAAAACTGGCACAAGCTGATTCTAAAATTCATTTGAAAGAGTACATTTACAGTTGTAGTAGAGACAGTTTTGGGACATTGCTCTAGTTAGATACTTACCCTCATGAAGAGATGACTGAAGATATGCGTGCTATAGCACAGTGTGGTGAAGAAATCAGATGGTGCCCAGTTATCAGAGAGAATAGCATCTGGGATCTTAAAGGCTTCTAAAACAGGCAGCCATCTAAGTGAGGTGTCACCTAAGTCCACACAGAAGGACACCAGCCTATGTGACATAAGCACTGTAAATAATAAAATCCATGACTGGAGGAGGGAACAGTATTAGAGCTTAAATTCTGAGCACCCAGTTTGCAGAAAGCTATGGATGACAGTGGAGCCCCAAATATATTTGCAGAGCCCTCACATGGATTGAGCCTATGGTGAATCCTCTATGACCATTGACCAAGATGTGAACAGCCTTGCAACAAGACAGAGCGCATTGTAAAGTGGATTAACACAGATGTAGTTAGATTATCATTTGTTTTCCTTTTGGATCCATTTTCAATTTGTTCTAGTTTTTAATATAGTCTGCTTTCTTTTTTATTGAGGTTTTTCTCTGGTTTATTTTATTATTTTAGTTGAGGTTTTTGTTTTTGAATGCTTTTTTTCTGTATATGAAATCCAGGATAGGTGAATCTATAGAGACAATAACTGGATTAATAGTTTCTTAGGGTTATGGCAAGGGAACTTGGGTGGAAATAGGGAGCTAATAGGAATGAGCTCAAAAAAAGAAAATGTTCCAAAACAGATTGTTGTGATAATTGTACGACTCTTTTTAATATGATTAAACCATTCAATTGTATATGCCAATAAAACTTTTTTTAAAAGACAATTGTTAAAAAAAAGGAGGGTATGTTTTTCTTTAACCTGTTTTGAAAACATTAGGAAGCTCTAGTAATGAAAAAGTTTGCTCTTGATGAAAGAAACAAACTAAAATCATAGAACAGAAGACTGTCCAGAGACGTAGCCGTGTTTACATAGAAACTTTGTAAGACCTTTTTCTCTTATTAATACCTTTCTAGTATTTCTGAGATTTAGAGCCCATAGTGTCAAAAAGAGTAGATAGATACTTGTACATTTGAAAAAGTAATGAACTTGCCTTAAATGATTGTTCCTTACATTTTTAACGGCTATTTGCATTATTTGAAATTCTTTGTCCCTTTTCCAGATGTTGATTTTTGTAGAGAAAATAAGAACATAAACAGCCTTTTTATTTAAAGGGATAGCTTCTCATCACTTGGTGTCTCTTTGATAACCAAACTAAGATTTTGCAAATAAGATCTTTCTATTCACTTTAATGAGTACATTTCCTTGTCTTAGGGATGGCAGTTATGGGTCCTCCTGGCCCCCCTGGATTTCCCGGAGAAAGGGGACAGAAAGGTGATGAGGGTCCACCCGGAATATCCATTCCTGGGTCTCCTGGACTTGATGGACAGCCTGGCCCTCCTGGCCTTACAGGGCCTCCTGGCCCTCCTGGTCCTCACATCCCTCCTAGTAAGCTCTGTTTAATCTCCTCCTATGTTCTCTAGTTGTTTTCATTTATGTTATTTGTAAGAGTGTTGACAGTATTCTTTTTACATCTGATATATTTTACTGCTTCTTTTCCTGTGGTGAATCTTAAATGTTTAAATTCATTCTTCTGCTAAGGTTCACTATCAACAGTCTATCTTCCTTCTGCTTATCTATAGGTATTACTGCAGAGGCAACCTAAAATGTTACTTTTTATTCTAGCCAGCCAAGCTTTCTTTTCTATCAATCTTGTAGATATTTTTCACCTAACTCCTTATCCTTCCTTTTCCTTATATCAGGTGGTGAGATATGTGAAGCAGGCCCTCCAGGCCCTCCGGGATCGCCAGGTGATAGAGGATTCCAAGGAGAACATGGGGTGAAAGGTTTGTTCTCCAACCACATTTATTCACTCATTATTTTAAACTGTTGGCAAAATTTCCTATTATCTTCCATCTAGTTTCACCCACTCATCCCCATGATCATACTCCCAGACTATCTGAGTACCAATAGAGCACACTTCTATAATCTTGCTTTCATGAATCCCTTTTTCTGTCTTTCTTGCTCACTAATTCTAAGAACATGACTCCAAAATTATTTCAACTCTACTGAGGCCTATGAACTTTATCTCTCAACCCTTTGAAGTCCTTCCTTCCCTCTGAAGTCAGCTGAAATTTCATCATCACTCAATTTGAACAATGCATATACCCTTGACTTCTTTGCCTTTCTCTCACTTCATTGTATTCACTTGGAACGGAATCTTCTTCATGGTTAATTCCAATCTCCACCTATTCTGAGCCTGCTCTTTCTTCTCTCCCTTGAAATTTCCAACACTTCTTCCCACATTTGCCTTTTAAGCTACTGACCTTGCTTCATCTTTGATGAACCAATTTCAAGAATAAAGGAATAACCAGAAAATTTTCACAGATGTCACCATCACATTTGCTTATTTGCTTCTGTGCTCATGTACTCTGCCTTCTTGGTTAATACTGTTATTGACATGACCTAAAGCCAATTTCTATATTTGTATACTATTCCATTCCCTGGGATCTCTCCAAGACGTTGTTCCCAAAATTCTTATGTTTAAAATGATCAGTTTTTCCTTTTCTATGGGGATATTTGTAGCTAACTGTCTTTCACCCATCACTTTAAAATATCTTAACATGTTACCACTGTTTCTGCCACATCCTGCTCTAGTCTTCCATTCCCATTTGCAGTCAAAATTGTCATGAATTTTCCATCCATACTCTCTCAATACTATCCTCCCATTTTCTCTTAAACACTGGTATTTCATTTACCCCTCCAATCTACCATTCTATATATGCTGCTCTTATGAAAGTCACGAGTGGCCTATCCCCTGCTACTCTAAAAGCCAACTCTCAGTCCTCTTCTTACTTGATAATTAATTCCCTTTGTTAAACACTTCTTCTTTTGGCTTTTAATAAATTATATTTCTTGGCTATTATTGGGTCGCAGGGTTTGGCCCATTCTCCCTGATTTCTTGCAAAGTTACATTTTTATTTGGGCATAAAACATTAAGTAAAATACACCTTAATAAGCATTTATGTAGATGTACTATAAACAAGTAAGTAGCTTCCAAATCAAAATATAGAACATTTCTAAGCCCTCAGAAGATTATCTTTGTTCCTTCTATTAAGTAGTCCCAAAGGTAGCCACTCTTTATCCTCTATTCAGTTCTAGTTTTTTTTTAAAATAATCATTTTATTAGGGGTTCATAAAACTCATCACAATCCGTACATACATCATTTGTGTCCAGCACATTAGTACATATGTTGACTTCATAATTCTCACAACACTCACTTTCTACTTGAGCCCTTGGT